CCAGGGAGCTAACTCATATATGGCGCAGCAGATCTCTCCTGTCTCAGCCGCTGCTCCCCTTACTTAGCAGTTTATTTCAGCAAATCCACCTGCTCTGCTCCCCACCTCTGTCTCTGGTGAATCCTCTCATGCCCCCGCACCTCTGGCCTGCACTCCAGTTCTTTTACAAAAATAAACATTTAAAAATAAAAACAGTTGTTTTATTTAAAAACTAATTCTGGGGATTAGTCTGGTTTGAGACTTCCGATCCCACAGCACCATGGGTACAGTGGAAGACCAAGGCCTGGACTTGGCTTGATTACCAATTTCAAATAAGGCAAATCCCTCTCATGAGATTTCAGTAACCTCTTTTGTGAGATTTTTATCACACTAATTGTTCAGGGTTCTTCATGAGTCTGTACACCTCTCAATAATCAGGATAGGGAAAACACCACCAACAAAAAAATCTAGTCACCCCTGCTGCTGATAACTGTTGAAAAGACTCAGAATCCAAGAATGAGCATAAGTACAGGACAGTGACTGGCTGCACACCCATACAGACAGGTGCACCACACTTCTCAGCAGAAACCATAGATAGCTGCAGAATCTCTGAGCAGAAGACATTCCCACATCCAAAAAGTTTAGCCTAAGGTGGTGCTTCTCAACTAAGGGGATTGTAATCTTGGGATGGGCCTTTACATATTGAAAAACTGAAGACCCCCCAGAATCATCATTGTGGGTCATATCTATTGATATTTTCTGTCTTTAAAAATTAAAACAGGGAACATTTTTAAATATTTACACACAATAAGTACTTTACTAGAGCAGGGAGGGCACAATTTTTCTGTAAGGATCACACAGCAAACATTTTAGGCTTTGCAGATCATACCATCTGCTACAACTTTTCAATTCTGCATGAAAGAAGACAGATAATACATAACAAATGAGCATGACTATGTTTATCTTCATAAACAGGCATGGGCCATTTTTTGCTTGAAAACAACCTCAAAAAGACTAAAGTGACTTGCAGGTATATTGACTGTATACTAGAATAAAACCCAATAAAAACAAAAAAAAGTGTGTACCATCATTTCTAGGTAACAGACCTGCAATGATCAAGAACAAGGGGCAAAATTAGTCAACAGAAACAGACCCAGAAATAATAGGTGATGGACTCAGCAGATAAGGAAGGGGTCTTAAGACCAGTCTTACAAATGTTTCTAGGTACTCCAGGCTCTACAGGAAAATATGAGTATGAGAAGAATAATGTCATACAGAATAAAACAGAACTGCTAAAGACAAAAACACAAAATCTGACATGAAAATTCACAGGAAATAGACATTGCAGTAAAAAAAAAAAAAAAAATCAGTGAACCTGAAAAACTGCAATCATATTTATACAAAATGAAAGAAGAAAAAGGAATTTTAAAAAGAACAGCGCCTCAGTGGTCTATGGAATCCCAAGCAGATGAAAATACATGCCTACCGCAACCTATGACATGACACCTATAAAATTCACTTTAACTATAAGGACAAAGATGTTAAAAAACAGAAAAAGACATATCATGCAAATACTAATCATAAGATAACTGCAGAAGTGGTGCTGATATCATACAAAGGCTTCAGGACAAAGAGTGTTGTCAGATAAGGACATTTTATAATGGTAAAAGGGACAATCCAGCAAGAAAACAACTCTTAAGTGGCAAGCAGACAGTAACAAAACTTCTAAACAGGCACAAAAAATGACAAAAGGAGATACATGCAAACCCACAGTAGTTGACAATTTCAACACACCTCTTTCCACAACTTATAAAACAAGTGGAGCAAAAAGAGCAATTACAGACATAGAAAATTTGAAATCTATGATTAGGTATCTATACACTACAGTAATACACTAATTGGTATTTATACACTACAGCCTGCACTAATTGGTATTTATACACTATGGCGTGCAGAATTCACATTATTTTCAAGTAAACAACATTAACCAAAACGGACCATCCACTGAGTCATCAAACAAGCGTCAATAAATTGAAAAGGACTGAAATCATCTAGAATACGTTCTCAAACCACAACAGAATTAAATTAGAAATCAGTAACAAAAAATTAGAACAGAGCTGGGCAACAGAAAAGCAGAGCAAGGCATATATGTAATTTAAAATTTTCTATTAGCCGCATTTTGAAAAGTAAAAACAGGTGAACTTAAATTTTAATCATGTATTTAATCCTTATTTAAAAAAATTCTCTTTTCAACATATAAGCAAATTTGTTTAAAAATTGAGAACTTATTTTCCATACTAAGTCTTCCAAATTCATTAACGTCTCAATTTGACCAGTCACATTTCAAGTGCTCAAGAATCACATGTGCTACCAAACTGGACAGCACAACTTTGCAAAAGTTAGTGATGACATTACAGCTAAAAGTGGGAATACCCATCTGGTACTCAGTTGTATTCCCCATCATCATCCCCCCAACCCAGAAGCAAAAATCTTGCCTTGAGACAAAGAACTTTTGAAATGTTCAGGCCTAACACATTCATCATCGAGGTTGCTCACTTCTCTTTCAATTCTTACTCCCTTTCACTCACCCACTGCTGCAGTAATCAAAATCCTTCCTAATTGTAGCCATTCTTCTCACATTGGCCTCACATTCTGCAAATGCCTGTTGGTTGTTTGGATTCATTCTCCTGTTCTTAGGTCTGTCAGACACCCTTGTGGCCTCCCAGTTCTCCTGCCTAGGAGAACACACAGGTTGGAGCCTGCCTATTGGTGGTTTATTCTCACCCGCTCAATATCCTGTTGTCTACTTATGATGTAAATGTTGCCCAAGGGGTTTTGGTTGCTGTTTTTACATGGAGAGTAAGAATATCCAAAATTTTTTAATAATATTCCAACCATCACCATGATACCCAGAATTTGATTTTATAAAACATTTGCATATATTACTGACAAAAACAAATTCTTTTAAAGAGAGAACGTTGTGTGAACTTCCCTCCCTGGCTTGATTTGGCTTGATCACTCGTTGCAACTGTGAAATAAAAGGGACCCAAAGAAGTAATGCAAAAAATTGCAAAAAGGGGAAGAAACCAAGGAAACACTTCCTACAGATGCTCTTGAAGTACAAGAGGCCAGGCAGAGAAATGAAAACTTGAGTCCATCTAGAGACTGGCCATCAAGAACCACCAAACAAAATAAACAGCTCAGGGCCTGATACATATAAAGTCCCCTGATCCCACTCTAGAGAAAACTGTTTACGGGATTAAAATTGGATCAGACAATTCCTTATTCAGCCAGAAGAAAGTAAGTTTCAGTGCAATTTTGAAAACCTGCTCCAAATGTACCCTTTTGCTTTTGTCCAGCTTCGTGACTCTGGGGCTGTAACCTATAATACACTTTTCCTTTGCCAGTGAACACAGTATTATGCACTGCCAGTAGAAGGCACTGGGCCCCAGCAAGTGGTTTTCTGCCAAATGCGGCCAGCAACCCAGTAAGTGACTTCCTAGTGAGTTTCCCAGGCACTTGTCAAGTAGTGGCAATCTCAGCAAATTTCTCCTCCAGTGGGGCACCCCCCACCCTCTTCAATGAAATCTGAATCTCAGCCATGGAGGGTAGGGAAAGGGCTCTTCCAAGTTTGTTCCTTCCTAGGGTGCTCTCTCACCATCCTTGAGCAGTGGCTGCTCCCTACACCTGCTATTCCTGCTCTTTAGAGATGTCTTTGCCCCTCCTAGTGTAACTAGCTTAATAATTTTCATATTGGATTTTTCCTGCTCAGATTAATGGTATGGTCAGTTTCTCCTAAATGGATCCTAAACCCTAAATGGTACCATAATCATCTGTAAAATTTAAAAGAGGATATATATACTTTCTAAATCACTAAGAAATTAAAATCAGGAAATTACAGTCCATTTAGGAAATGACAGGAATCAGTGAGAAAGCATAAAAAATGATCACATAAGTCCAAAGACAGTAATTACCATAAAAGCAAATGCGTTAACTCCCCTATTAAAACACAGACTCTCCAAATAAGTTGAAATGTAAAATTCAACATGTTTATGAGACAAGTGAAAATATACAAGTTAAAAATAAAAGGATAAAAAATTATCAAGCAAATAAAAACAAATAGAAGAGATAGAATGTACTATCAAAGAGTAAAATTCACAGCAAAAAGCATAAATTGGACAAAAAGTAACTTTAGACCAGTTAAATCTCCCTTATGAATACCTAACAGACACTAGTATTTATATACTAAATAATACATCAAAATATACAAAGCAGGGGAGGAGGGGGGAATATCTACAAAGCAAAAGGTCTAGAGAAATAGCTATAATAGGAGATTTAAAGCAACACTATTAAAATAGCCTATGGTAGTTTCTAACCAAAAACAAGAAAATAAATTTTGAATAATGAAATTAAATTAGGTGAATACACATTCACCTCTGTCCCATATACAAATTGAGTAAACTACTTTGCTTAAAACACCCACAGGCCATTATTCTTTAAGTGCTAAGGCCCCGAAACTTCAATAAATTCTAAAAAACAGAACCCATATAATCCATATTTTCTTTTCACAAGGTAAAAAATCCTACAAGTACCAAAACTTTTCTTCAAATAGCTAACCACACATAAATTCTTAGTCTTCATTATTAAACCAAAAATTTCAAATACAATGATAAACTACTTAAAAAACAAGACACATCAACATAGCTGGGATATGAACATATTTGAAATTACTGACAACTTTAAGCCTTCACATATTCATTTGTATACAAACATAAAAAAAAAAGCATCAGACTCAAAAAAATGTAGAGGAACAAAGGAAATAAACAGAAAATGAGAAAACAACACATTTTAAAACAAAAACACAATTGATAAATCCAAACATCGAGTTTTTTAAGGGAAAAAAGAATCTTTAGCAAGTCTAATCAAGAAAAATACAAAAAATGAAAGAATTAAGAAACATTTCTTAGAATTTATAAGAGTAAATTTAAAAGAGATTTTTTAAATCTCTATTAAAAGTCCCTGCTCATAAATCTTTACATTTCAACAAAATGAAGTTTTCTGGAAAAGTATAAATTACACTTAAATTTAGTAGAAAACACAAAAGGAAAAATACATTTCAAAACAGAAAATATTAAATTTTAATAGATAACATACTAATAGTCACAGAAGGAACTGACAGTTCATGAAGTTATTCCCAAGAAAGGCTCTGAACTCAAGTTTTATATGCACAGTTCTTTGATTCTTCATGAAACAAATTATCCCCTTGTTATATAACTGCTTAATGTACAGAAAAATATATACAGCTATACTACTCACTGTATAGAACTAGCCTTATGTCAACATTTGGAATATAGCTCAAATGACAAATTTCACATTCATGTTAAAATGCAAATTTTCCTAAAATATATATATGCAAATCAAATTCTAAAATACCAACAGGGCAGTCACATTTTAAGAGATCATCACTTACTTCAAAACTAATTTTTCCAGAAAAATAAAAGTAAAAATAGGGAGGACATGTGCTTGGACAGCTTCAGTCTACTAGCCAAGAGAGTGCATGTTTTGAGACTGCTTTCTATTATCGCCTCATTATTTGTAATGTTGCAAAGAGGACTCCTGCTCACGGTGGTGGTTTCTTTTGGCTCTTTATCAGTTAATTTCTGTCCAAAGTTCCTGAGACTTGAACATGCTTTTCCACAGTATTTTAACACTGCCACTAAATGAACACCCGTAGGAGAATATGATAAATGTGAATGTTAAAATAGGCACTAAGAGTACTCTCATAGTGGTGCTGGAAAACAACTCTGGCTTTACAGGATACTGGCAGAGGATGTTAGGTCTACTTACCAGCTAAAGCTGCACTGCTATGTGGCAAAAACACAAGCAGTTTCCAATGCACTGACACTGTCAGTTTTGAAATTATACAATTCTTGGTCATTTTTTTAGGCTGAATGTTTGTGTATTCAAATTCTGAAAACAAAGTATTAAGTCAACTATTTTAAATCCATTGATTCAAGGCTACTTAAAGCACAAATAAACTAAATTCTTTTTAATTTTTTTTAATTAATCTACCTGATTTCAGGAGTTCAGATGGTTTAATGTTAGAAAGTTTTATTAATGCCATCAACGAATCAAATGGAAAAACTATATGATCATCTTAACAGATGTCCAAAAAGCATACTTGACAGAATTCCAGAGCTATACCTAATCCAAATTCTTCAAAAACTAAAAATAGAGGGATATTTCCTGTCTCAAGAATCAGTAACTCAAAACAGTCAACCTGAAGCTAAAATATTATGGACATTCTCATTCCTCTAACACATCACCACTGTTAGTTAACATTGTTCTAAACATATCAGGCAACAAAACATGCAACAAAAATTACATTATTGAAGAAATAATAGTATTCACGTATGATATCAAAGTATTTCCTAATCCATGTGAAATTACTGGGGAAAAAAATGCCAGAATTAAGTGACTAGATACTAGGAAAACAGTATCTAGTGTGTTGGCATGGGATCTGCCTCTACCTGTATCAAATTGCTATCATTGTTTCCCAGGCTTACATTAGGCTCCTAAATGAACTGATTTCCCTTTCTTCAGCCTGATGAGACATGACACAGTATAACCAGAGTCTCCATAACAAATATAATCCTGTTGTTCCTTTGTTCAGAATCCTCTTATAGCTTCCCAGCATAGTTAGAATAAGATCCAAATTTTTTTGCCCTGGCCTTAAAATACAGCCCTATACAACCAGGCTTATACAAATGCCATTCTGTACCCTCAAGCCACCGTGTTTTCCTTTTTGTTTCTCTAACACAACAGAAGGGCTCTGTGCTGGTTCTTCACTCTGCCTGGGTTACTCTTCCCATAAATCTCACAATGATGGCATATCCTAAGATGTCAATCACATCTTTCTTAACTATTACCTCCTCAGAGAGCTTTTTGATCATTCAACCTAGCCATCCAGTCACTATCTCCCATCACCCTATTTTAATTTCCTCCACTGAATCTAAAGTTCATGATCTGATACTTTTCTCCATCTGTTAGTATCTCACCTTGATAAGAGCAATAACTACCTTAATCATTGTTCATCTCCAGCACATAAATACCTGGCACATAAGAGTACTCAACTGTCATTCTCAATTCACTGTTAAATTCCACAAAATAGGAATCACATCTTTTATTTGCTATTCTTTCTCCAGGACTCTGATAGGGTATATAGTCATGATATATGAATTCCTCATTCTAAGATTGGGCTAAGCATTGTAGCAAATTAAATACATTGTTGTCCTATTCTTAACTTGTAACTAATTCTGTCCTAAATGATTTATGAAATTGTTATAAAATTACATCTTCCAACCTCTACCCAATTCCCAAATTCTGTATTTGTGTGACTGACTTGTTAAATTTGATGGCCTTGTTGAAATTAATCTTTAAAATGCCTTTGTCAAAAAAAAAAAAAAATTTTATAAGAAAGTTACAGGTCAAGAAAAATTAAATCTTTTGAGTTCTAATCTAAAAAATGTGTGAAAGCTGAGAAGAGACCTACACTAAAGTTATACTAAAAAAAAAATTAAAAAAAAAACCCACAGATATTAAAAGTTTATTTTATCAACATATAGGGAAATGACCATTATGCTAAAACTATCTAAATTAACAAAGCCACTTAAAATGATTGTCTCATAAGGCTTTAAGATACTGGATTGCCATTTTGATTATCAGACAGAATTACTCATTAAATATGAGAGTACATATTTGCTGGTTAATGAGTACTAAGTATCTAATTACTTCAAACAAAAGACTGCAATCTCAATTCTTTACATTTTGTTTTTATTCAAGAGTTTTACTCACAGGCTTTTATTTTTAAAGGCTTTTAAAATTAAAAGCCAAAACTAAAAAAATGATCATCTTAATAATTTAAACCCTAAAATTTCCTGTGGAGTTGAAGTCTTTATACAGAGAATGTGTAAGATCATATCATTTAAAGTAAACAACCGAAAAAACACAGATCATGGGCAAATTTGTCAACGAATGCAGACATCAGTTTCAGCCCTCCAGAGTATGAAAACCAGCAACTAACTCATCTTGTGACAGAACAGAAACTATGCTTCAGAATTTGGATTTTAACGACTCTTTCTCCACCAGCAAATCAGCATATCTATGTTGAAGTTCTTTTTCTCTGTCCTGTTGTCGCTGAACATCTTCTTTCAGACACTTGAAGAGACAAAAATATTACATAATTATTTCATATGCAAGCACACGGAAAATATCCTATGGTACTTCATCATTTTACAAACAGTTAGAAAGTCAAGGTGAGTCTTAAAAGGTAAGCATCCCTCCAACGAGAAACAAAAACCAACTACTTTTGCTATAAAACCAATCTTATCGTCATTCTTTGATTCAGTTATGACAATCGCCTTGTTGTAAAATCTCTACTATCTCAAATAAACAAACCATTATTATCCTGTTTGCCCACAAACACACTTAAATAAGCTTCAAATGCCCTTCATCTCTATAGGCTAAGATGCACACTTGGGAATAAAGCTAAACCAAGTTTGATGAAGGAATTTGATGCTTTGGAACAACTAGCTATATTCCCAGCACTGTAACTGCAGAACAAAAAGACACTGATTTAATTTACCTCAGAGAACTATATGAATGGGATGCAATTAAGTTTCAGGGGGACAAATCACAAAGATTACTTACTCCATTTCATAGTATATGTGTATATAAACCAGAAAGTTCATAAAAGGAAAGCCTTCATATCCAACAGTTACCTGGTGTATCTATCTAAACACAGGCAATTCTACATGAAAAAGTCAAAAACCTTAGGCCCTCACTGAAAAATGGTAGACGGTATCAACTTCAGAGATAAACTGCACAAAAGGAGAAAAAAGAAAAACCTAGAAAATTCTTTGCAGCTCCCTTTCTAAGCAATGCTACAGGAAATAATGTTACCTCAAGCCTCCGGGGAATAGCAGAATCTTCATGTTTCTTAAGTTCCTCAAAAGTGCGTAACTCTAAGTAAGCCTGTTCAATTTGGTCCCATAAGTCATTTAACTGTTTCATAAGCCCCATGGCACGAGACTGGTAACCACCAAGCAAAATTTTCATCTTCTTTTCCATCTTTGCAGCTCTCTTGGCTTCTGTTGTCATGTGACCCCTGTTTATCTGGCGGGGGAAGGGAGGAATGATCACATCAGCACACATGAGAAAAGCAGGCTAAATATAAGATGACTAAAAAGAGGCTGTTGGTTCATTTACTGCCTCGAAGCAAACGTACATTACAGGGCCCTCTCTGGTGGCCTAGGAGTTAGTCTTAGCGCTATCACTTGCTAAGGTGTTCAATCCCATGCCAGGGAGCTGACCCACATGGCTCAGCAGACCTCTCCTGTCTGGTCCGCTGCTCCCCTCAGCAGTGTATTTCAGTGGATCCGACTATTCTGCTCCCCACTCTGTCACTGGCAAATCCTATCACACAGACACCCCTCCCTGCAACTCTGGCAAACACCCCAGTTCTTCTATGCAAAAAAAAATAATAATAATAATAATAATAATGATAAAGTTGAGAAGAAATGTTTGCCTCTGTGGTTAACTTAAAAAATAAAAAAGCAAAAGTACATTACAGTATACACTCATACACTCTATAATGTATACTTATAATTCAGCTAACACAACACAAAATTAGACTGAAGAAGGGCTTGTCTTGCACCTGAAGGGTTTTATAGGTTAGTTCCAATAATCTGTAACAATTTCACTCATGATTCTATCTCAAAGCAAGCTTGAATTTCATAGTATGGGAAAACTAATCTCTATTTCTAAAAATAAGTTCTGCTATCATTAATCCACATTGAACTGGGGACTAGTAGCAATCCATTTGCATATACATCTCAAAATGTACTTTTATATATACAACTAATAGATTTTTAAGAACTCAATAATATCCAATTAGTGTACCATATAATCTAGTTCCTCAAACTAGATTATTCTTATAATGCTATAATCCTAAACTTGCAGTAAAACTTGTAAAGGAAAAAGAAAATCTTTTTTTAATTTTTAAGGAGCAAAAAAACCATAAAATTAAAAGATGACAGTTTTCCTATTAAATTTGTACACTGAACACAGGCAGATCACCTCTTGGTATCATTCTAAAATTAGGGGGAAATAACATAGTTCATATAAATTAACAAAAGAACAGGAGAGAAACAATTAAAAGAAAGATTTCGATAAAATTCTAGCACTTGATGCAACAGGACAGGAAATACCACAACTTAGCAGGCTCAAAGAATGTTGGATCAGAGGAAGCAGGCATGAAATGCAGGAATCCCGTTAGCATAACCCCTTCTCTAGGTGTATCTACTTCCCACAATAGATCACTTCATATTTTAAAGAGATCTACAAATGTTTGTTTTCAAAAACACTTGAAATTGTGAGATCAAAGCCTAAGGAATAATCACTAAATCTGTGTTTATTTGTGTGTGTTCTTTCCTCCCTTTCTCAACTTACTTCCTCTCTTACCCTCACCCCTTTCAACCCCTTCCCACAAACTCATGCCATCAATGATTTCCATAAGCAATCAAAACTTAGCAGTTTTGGGCCTCCCCTGGTGGCGCAGAGTTTGAGCGCTGGGCTGCAAAGCTGCCCGCAGCCTCTGCAGCACTGGTTCGATCCTGGCCTGCCAGCGAGGGTCCCACATGGCGCGGCAGACCTCTCCTGTCTGGCCCGCTGCTCCCCTCAGCAGTGTATTTCGTTGGTCTGCCTGTTCTGTTCCCCACTTTGGCTCTGGTGAATTCTCTCACCCTCCCACGCTTCTGACTATACTCAGCCCTTGTATAAATAAATAAATAAATCTTAAAAAAAAAAAAGTGGCAATTTCAGGGGCTCCCTGGTGGTGCAAGAAGTTAAGACTCAACCTATGAAGCTATCAGCGGCCACTGCAGCACGAGTTCGATGCCCGGCCAGGGAGCTACCCACATGGTGCAGCAGACCTCTCCCGACTTGCCCACTGCTTCCTTCAGCAGTGTATTTCAGTCAATCTGCCTGCGCTGATCTCCACTCTGTCTCTCACCCTCCACACCTCTGGCCTGTACCCCAGTTCCTGAATGCATAAATAAATAAATCTTTTTAAAAAAAAAATAACTTAGCAGTTTCAGGACAATGTATACCCAAATGCTACTCTGTAATTCATAATGACAGACTGAGAGCACCCTATAACTTATGGTGCCATGGGAAAATGTAAAGTGTAAAAACTGATAGGAAAACTGTACATAAGATGAATTTTTAAATACTCAGAAACAGTATTATCATGAAAAAAAAAAATACATAGTCTCCCATAACAATTTCCACTTAAAAGTATAACACCTAATTTAAAAACATGTCAATCTCAATGCTTTATGGTTAGAATATATAACAACAAATACAGTGTCCTTCAAAATGTAAAAGTACACTTCTACTGGAAAAGTGGTACTTCAGAAACCTATTCATGTGCAGCTTAGTTTATTAAATCAAAGTTAAGGGGATGGGGAGGGGCAGAAGTGATGGTGGACAGAGTACATTTATGCCTAAGAACATGAAATGGATAAGATTTATTTAAATAAAGTTATTTTTAAACCATTCATAAATTCAACATTTATATAAGTTAACATTATTCCTCTCCAACTCACCTGAAGAATAAATCCATAAATAAATAATGTCTTTTATAAAGGAATTTCGCCCAAGAGATAACAAATCAAAGTAAGTTCCATGGCAATAGTGTTTGTCTCCTAAGAGCCAAAAAACACTGGATGAACTCGACACAGAAATACCGGGTGAAGTCAGAACTCTTCACACTCAGCTTGGTTCTAGGCAGATGTCACACTGTGCCCGTTACCACAGGTTCTTATGCCCTGGTCAGCAGAAACTGTCACCATGCCATGTTCTTTCTGGGAGGAACCAGCTCCCTGGTTTCCAACATTTGTTTGGTGAATCTGAGTCATGGGTACCTTTTCTGTTACTGCTTTCCAAACAATGAATTACTGTCACCTTGACATAGAGGTTTCAGTAAAGCTTTGTAAAGATATTAGTAGAAATACACACTGCAAAAGCCTTAACAGTATAGGATTTCAAATTAATACATACAGTGCTTTTTATTAGTCACACAAATCATTTTCATTGGTTGAAATAATTCAATTTTTATACACTGCACTCCATGGATATTCAACTTCTAATTTACTGTAACAGCATAACACTTATGCTCAGAAAGTGGTTAAGTAATTATCAAGGCACATTTAGTATGACTGGTAGCTGAGAATTACCTCATCTCATACAGTTGAATCATTTACTCTCAAACCACTGAAGATTTTAAAACTGCAAAGTTGCTAGCTTCCATTTAACGCCAAATTTTATTTAATTTAGCTCAAAGTTTTATTAAAGTCTTCTAGGTCCAATACCAGATTTCAAACAAATATAGTAATAAATTATACCAAAAATTTAAATTCAGGAAAAAAAAAATCAAATAATTAGTCACCAAAATTATAAAAGAATATAACTTTTAAAGTTCAATTTTAGCTTAATTATGTTACATCAGCCATTTGATCACTAAAATGTGAAGGACAACTGCATACTTTGAAAAATGTTCAACCTATGACTGCTCAATACACTCTGGGAGGAAAAACAACCTATAGCTGGTAGCCTTTTTCTAGTCCAATAAATCTCAAGCATGAAATACATATGCACACGAGACAGAACTACCATAAATCAACACCACTGTCCCACCCCACACTCACACAGAGAAACAGCACTAAAGTCCAACAGAGAACAAAACCTTATTGTTTAAAACATAAACAATCAGAAAGAACCAGATTTAACTAGTATCATATTTCCAAGCCCCTTAAAAAATACACCCAATTAAACATTAGCAAGTGCCCTTAAAGACACCTTTTTTTTTTGGTAAAACAAAACAATATTGGTTTAAAGGAGCTAGCACTGCATCTGAGAGCTACCAAATGTTCTCAAAAAAAATTTTTTTTAAATCCTTATCTGCACTTGAGATATACTCTGAAATCTTAAAATATATCTAACAAAGTTTAAAAAAATTAACAAACTTCGTGTAGAGCAAGGGGTTGAATACCTTTGCTCACCTGACAAGCCTTCCAAATGCGGTTTTAATAAAAGTTTGTGCTATAAATGTGTCAGCACATAATTTCTAATCTTAAATAAAGTTACTGTAACTATTAGGAACTTAAAGTAGAACACTTGGTATCATTACAGTTGACTATATCCAAAATTAAAGAATAAAATTCAAGTCAAAAGAGGAGATAAATGATAACTTATGTACGTGTATATGTGTAGGCAAACAAATTTAACGCATCATAAACTATCTTAAGATACATGGAATCTGGAAATTTTAAAAATGAAAGCAAACAACCAGTTTTACCTGTTTTAATGATATCTATAATATTATACTATTAAATTAACAAAGCAGTGTATGATGTTCACAACTTTGTTTTAAGCACCTGCCTCCTTGCAACAGTACAGCACATGGACATATATTAATCTTTTTTCTATTGTATTTAATCTTGTATATACCAAAATATTTGACATCACTATGTATGGATGGTAGCTTTCCTTTCTTCTTCATTTTTCTTTTTAATTTTTCTATAAAGTATAGGTTCTTTTAGGGAAAAATGCCTACAACTGTTATTTTTTAAATGCATAGAAGAGAAACTGTCTGAAAAAGACTGGCCAGAGACCAATGGAAAACTGATGGTCCCCAGGAGATGAATCAGTGGAACCATAAGTGTTTCCTCGGTCATTACAAAAGGGGGCTGTATGGGATTTATAAAAGTGTAATTGTTACTTTCAAACTCACTAAGTTTGTTAAAGTTACTAAGTTTAAGTAATTCCAAAATAAACACATTATCCTTGGGTCTCCAATACTGTCTTCAGTTAAAAGTCTGTTTCTGTAAGGTTTAGAAACATTAAGAGCATCCTTCACTGAGATTCTTGCTTGGGGGCCCAAAATATAACTTTATTCCACTGGAAAAACAAGTTTAAGAATACCCAAAATAAATTTAAGGTCCATGATAGTTTCACTTCCTAGTCTATCACACAGCAATAAGACCCCACAGTAGTAAAGAAGTGGTTCAATCACCAAAATGTTTTCAAACAACTCAGTCCATGAGTGTCTCTCCTTTCATCTCTGTACTACCCACTAGCATCAAGTTGTACTAGTGATCCTTCTCTATGTACTCTATGAAATGAGGTTCAAAAAGTGATTACTGTCAGCATCAGAGGTAGCAACCATCAAATTGCATTATTGCAAAGCTAGTTAAGCAATAAGGCAAAACCTTACTTAAACTACTCTCTAATAACAGTAATATACCAAAACAAAGCAATGCCAAGAACAATTTACATCTGCCTAAGATGTGAAACACATGAATTGCATGAAAATAAACTCAGCTCAACACTGAGGGATAACAGAGGCAACAGAACTGTACCAAGGAGATCTCTGATCCAGTTCAAGAGGTCCTGCTAGAAATAACCAAGAAATGTCAGAGCCTTTAAAGGTGATGGCAGAGAGCAGAACCTAAAAAAAAAAAAGCATTCTGAGTACTGAGAACTTCTCTCCTGCCCCCTTGTCACCCCTCCCACAACACTCACAAGGGAACATAAGCATAAACCCACTGAGATACTACCACATACAGTCCTTCATTCCTTGAAAGAATGATTTAAAACCACTGCCCATCTACTTCCTTACCCTAAGTTTACACTCTTTAAAGGATTAAGGGATTTTTTTTCCATGTAAAAAATATGACTTTATAAAGAATATCACTGAAAAAATGGGATCCATTGTGCAACCAATTTTGCTGAAATACAACCATTCAGCAAAGCCAGAGGTCCTCATAAGACTTCTATAAACACATAGAGAAGATTTTAAATGTGTTATCTATTTATTAAGTTACTTTATTTCCAAGAAGTCAATGTTACATAATATTTCTTGACTAAGTTGACTGTGCCAGTAAAATACAGGGAGAAGTATTACTTCTGGACCTACTTTCCACCTCTAAGGAAAGCCTTTCCATTTTTATAGCTAACATGACAAAATCTACTTTTTAGCCAAACTTCCTCAACACAGCAGTTTAGATACTATTTCAAATACTATTAAATTTAATGGCAAGCCTAAATTCAGACTTCTCATTTCATTTTTGCACCTACTAGAAATTATTTCACTCAAAATTAATTATGTCTTCAGATGATTTCCTATTTCCACTTAAAGTGGAAACAAATTAGAACACTTCAAATTTTATTTGCACTTCCCAAATACAGTAATGACTCATTTGAGGTTCTCCTCATTCTACATTTTCCAGAAAACTGAAGTTCACAAAAGTGGAGAGCACAACTGTCCTGCTCCCTGCTGTATCCCCAGGGCCTAGAACAGGACTGGCACACAGCAGATGCTTCGTAAGATTCACTGAAGGTGATTAAAATATTAAAGCTATTTTAAACGATTTGATGAAAATTTTTCTATAATTACAGACATCCCTCTTTAAATAAAAAAAGGACACTAAAGTTATTTTATTAATTTGGGGCATTACTATAAACAGCAGTCAACACTACCCTCCCTGCCCCATACCATTGCACCTATAATGCCTCAGAGGCTATTAAATTATACACTGGGGTTTTACCACCATATTTAAATAGCCTCAGTGAGTTATGCTTTCAGAACTTTTCCTTTCCCGATATTAGCTGTCATTTCTGTTTGCTGCTGCTGCCTTATTTTATACGCAAATATCTAGGCAGGCTACTTCTACTTCCAAAGCAGAATAAAATACGTGCAGTTGGTTACAATTCAAGTTTTTCCAGCTTACTTCTGACCTGTGACTACAGTCTGCTGCTATTTATTCAAAAGACTCCTTGTACCACCCACTACATTATACATAAAATCAGATGGTCTTAAATAAGTATCTTAAGGATTTTCATTTAAGTTTCAAATATTAATCATGAATAATGATTCAAAGACTAGCTCCAATATAAACCCTGAGGCACATTTTCTTAAACCATTTAAGAGACACCAACCACGACAAAGCTGGATTTCATCTTGCTTGATAGACTGTGATCAGGCTATAATTTAGATTCAAGTTCCAAAGTTCATGGCAACAAAAATCAAACACACTGGCAGCCATGGAGTACTGTGCTTGCACCGAAAGGCATATCTCCCTAAGCCTAAGAGTGGAAAGGATAATTTAAGTATAGCATTTAGTTTATATAATACAACTGGAGTTCCGTCCCCACAACAAACTTTGAATAATGTTTATAATTTAGCAATCAACTGTAATGATGAAAGAATTACCACAATTGAAATAAAATATTTATGTATTTCAAACCAGTAGAATTGTGTCTTCAAAAACTAAAATAAGCTAAGACAAACCTATTCCTGAATTAGAGATGGATACAAATAAAATGGGGAATTTGTTTATTTGGATTGAGTTGCTTTTCTGCTTTTTAAAGATTTAATGAACTTTCATTTGAATAAGGGTAGTTTACAAAATTAAAAGATCTGATTATATATTCTTTAAAAGTTAACTAGTTAGGTAAACAATGAATTAAGTTATCCAGGAGTCAAGGAAAAAAATTACTTGAGACTGTTTTATGAATAATCTTCCAAAATCACCAATCCTTCAACAAAAATAGTTCAACAGAAGATTTCAGTTCCTGGTACAAAACTGAACAAAGAGAACCACATGTTTTTTAATGGTTGCTTATAAACGACCCAAATAAATCTCTAAAAAGACAGCAGTGATTCTTTCTGTATTTTTCCCTTCGAAACTTACAAGACCAATTCAACAGAAAAATAAAAATTACTGTACTTTATAGCACCACTCACTGTGTGACACATTTATTTGCTGTCATGAAAGTGCCTCAACAAAGTAAATGAGATTTAGGAGGAAACTTTTTTTAAATCTTAACACAAAATGTCCTTACCATTTGGGAAACAGTTTATCTACTTCAAATGAGAAGATTTTCAAACTAAGTGAGAGACCTAAGTATTTATACATAAATGTTACAAGGAAGCTTTCCAATCAATTATGATGCTGACCTTAGATCAGAATTACACTGTTAACTACCCATTTATAAGAAATGAAGTCTACACAACAGAAAATATAACTTAAAATTTAACCACTGACGCTCTACTTTCCCTGATTGTAATTGTGAATTAAAACACAGAGCAACAGCACACCCTGCTGGAAGTTAGTAATACACCGGCAATAGCCAGTAGCTTTGGATTGCAAAAATTACACTCAGGACGACAAGTACTTCAGAAAGAAATTCTTATTTCCCAGTTACTGATAAAAGAGGTTCACAGGCATTAACCATTAGGAGCCATGAAAGTAAAATAAAAACCTGGAACCATTTCAAATTAAAAGATACTGCTTATTCCTAATCATTTATCCCTAATCTCACACAACCCCCACTCCAAATGATTTTACTATTTCTGATTGTAACTGTGCATTAAAGTATTTTCAAACCTGCTTTCTGAAAAGACAAGTTGGTAAAAACATAAGCGGAAACTGAGGTCATTTTCTCCATGCAAGTGCCTGAACACATCTTTCTCCTTTATCCCACCTTGGACTCCTTTATCATCCCACCCTGGACTCAGGTCTTACCCTTAAGACCACTACCATGGAAACGCCACAATGTAGCCTAGAGGCTGATGAGCCATAATTTACTTGCCATTGGCAAACTGCCCACAGAGTCTAGAATTCAAAACATGCAGACTATATTAAGAAACTGCATGGTATGAAATTCCCACCTAATACATTTCAACATTTTCATAGACATGAAAACTCATGGAAGCCACTGGTCCAGAAAATACAGCTCAGCACTCCTTCTGTAACTTAACTCACAGGAATCAGATGATGAACAGAAAGTTCTATAAATGTATTCTCTTGGTTCTGGAAGGAAAGCTCATTGGTAGCACTGAGATCCCTCAGAGAAAACAAGCTATTCCAGCATTGATATACGTTGTTCTGAGTGACAAACGCTAACTTCTTGGCCCCTTGCTCCCACATCTAAAAGGTTCTGAATAACCTGTAGTCAACTTGGAGGACATTTTTTATCATGAAGGCCAGCAATTCTGAAAAACCAAAGGACTAGGAAGATCAAATACTTCAGTGTTGTTTTCCCTCAAACACTGCAAAGGCGGGCATCCCCGTGGCGCGGTGGTTGAGCGCTGGGTTGCGAAGCTGCCCGCAGCCTCTGCAGCGCCGGTTTGATCCCCGGCTGCTCCCCGGCCACCGGAGAAGGGTCCCGCATGGCGCGCAGACCTCTCCTGCCGCCCGCTGCTCCCCTCAGCAGTGTACTTCGGTCCTTCTGCCCGCTCTGCTCCCCACTCTGGCTCTGGAGAATTCTCTCACCCTCCCGCGCTTCTGACTGGACCCAGTGCTTGTATAAATAAATAAATAACTCTTAACCAAAAAAAAAAAAAAAGCAAAGGCAATAACCACCGCAGGTCCATTTTTCTTAGGTTGTCTCTCCAGCAGTATTATTTGGTTCATTATCTCAATCAAAGAACATTTGAATTATAATTTTAAAAGGATACCAACCTCAAGCCTCTTTTCAAGTGACTCGATTCTGTCCTTTTTGCTAGCTAGGTTGGCCCGAGTGTAGCGGCTCTGCCCCGGAAGATATAAAACTTGACTGTAGCATTCTTCCCACACCTGGTTGTAAGCTTCACTTGAAAGTTCTCCGTGGCTCATTCCTTGTTTGACCACTTCCATCTCCTGCACCAGAATATCCTGGGCCTGTTTACAATAATGATTTCAGTAAGTTTAAGTAGCACAAATACTTGCCATCAACAGGGAGCTTTTTTTTTCTTTTTCATTTTTTATTTTAACATTTATCATTTTTTACTTTTTTTAGACAATATTTGCTTCCCCTCACCCACTCAGACTGAGTCCCCATAGAATCTCCTTCCCCAAGGCACCCGTGCACCATCACCACAGTTCCCTGTGCTCCTCCCTCCCTCCCTCCGCCCCACTCCCTCCTCCTCCTCTACAGTATGTCTCTGGTTTATAATTGTCTGTTTTTGTTTTGTTGTGTTTTGTACTGTTATGATTATTTTTTTTTACACTTATGTCTTATTTGGTTCCCCTATATTCCCAACAGGGAGCTTTTCAAAAGACCAGTTTTTCCTCCTCCTTTGGACAAAGTCAAGTTTTGGTTAATTGGATGCTTTTTTTGGAAGGGGGGAATGACACCTAAGCAAAATGAATTAAGAAACCTGTAAGTCAATGCAGACTATCTGAAAAGTCAAGCACCCAAGTATCGTCTATAATATAAACTCCTTTGCCTAATTCATTAGAATGCCAGTTACCACTGTTCAGGTATCTACTATGTGCCAGGAACTGGATTTAAAAGTTTTACCTATATTATATCCACACATCACAACCACCTTACGGAGTAGTCAATATTTTACCTCATTTTAAAGTTGATGAAACTAAGACTCAGAGAGATTAAACAACGTGTTCAAGAACACATTACTAGGGGCCTCCCTGATGGCACAAGAGGTTGAATGCAGCACTGTGAAGCTATCCGCAGCCTCTGCAGCGTGGGTTCAACCCCTGGGCAGGGAGCTACCCACATGGCGCAGCAGACCTTTCCTGACTTGCCTGCTGCTCCACTCAGTGGACTATGGTGGAGGACTATGGGTGCACTATGGTGGCAATACCTAATAGGAGCATCCTAATATAACCTCAATTAAAAATATTAAATTAAAAAAAAAAATCCTTAACAAAAAAATAAAGAGCCTGGCCTCAATGAAAGGTATGCAGACTATGAGAGAACACCATATGACTTTTTCTAGTCTTTTGCTTCATGTTCATGAAAAACTGACTACTTTGTGTGCCATAAAGCAAGTTGTCAATTATTCTAGTAAATATCAGAAAATAAACACAGACCAAAAAATATAAAAATCAAGAGAAATGAAAAAATTATAAATTAAAAAAAATTAAACAAAAATTGGAAAACCATGTCTATAGTAGATAAAGAATGAAAACTTTTTAACAATACCTCTTAGAGGGAATAATGGAAACAAACCAATTTTCATACTTAATAAAAATCTGACATTTTATTAATAAAAGAAATTGCATTTCATTCTGAAACTGTATATAGTAAAAATTTACAAATTCAGCTCTTGACATTATTAGGAAAGCATAAAGTTATCTTTAAACTGTCCAGAAGGGCCTCCCTGGGTGGCGCATAGGGTTAAGGCGCAACCTATGAAGCTATCCGCAGCCACTGCAAGACGAGTTCGATCCCAGGCCAGGGAGCTACCCACATGGCGCTACAGACCTCTCCTGTACTTGCCCACTGCTCCCCTCAGCAGTGTATTTTAGTACATCTGCCTGTTCTGTTCCCCCACTCTGTCTCTGATGAATCCTCTCACCCCCCACACCTCTGACCTGTACCCCAGCTCTTGTATGCGTAAATAAATAAATCTCCCAAAAAAATTTTAAATAAACTGTCCATAAATAATCTGCTAGGTAAACAGCTACTTCAAATTATTTTTGTAACAAAAAGGAATACAGAAAAATAAAACATGGGAGAATATTTAAACTACTTTTTAATGGTTTCAAATAATTCCAAAGCACTCTTTAAATTTATTATTTTTGACAATCTTATTACAATCTACCCCCTACAGAGCCTCTATTGGCAAGCAATGTAATCCTTACTTCAAGTTTCCATACATACAATAAATTTAAGAAAATTTATTTCCTAATTCCATCTCCTCATTATTTTAACTCTATAAAAGATGAAACTACTCAGGTATGGAGTTCATAGTCTAACCCTATTCCAGTTCAATGATTAAATTGTGCTTGCCACAGCACAAGTACTGAAAGGATGTCAATTTCCCATCACACTTACTAAAAGAAGCTCAAAAGTTACTTGCAGAAATATAAATTTAAACCTTCCTTCCTGTCTCTATTTTCTAAAATTTCTAATAAGCATGTATTACTTACACAGTAAGGAAAACTAGACAGAAGGGAGGTAGGTGGGTAATATAGCCCCAAAAACAAAAAAATAAAAAGGTATCTGTCTTTTCCCACAAAGGCATTATTTGCCCATTCCAAATCAATGGGTCTATCAATAATACCCCTCAGGGATAACCTAAAGAAAAAACACTCAGCTAATTACTACTCTGCTTCCAACCATGAAACCAATTATATTTTCTTGTACTATTGCAGGGATTTTTATTCCAAACACAGCTCTTTGCTCTGTCAAAGCATAAAGAATAAAATGCATATGGAAGAAAAAGCAGGACAATTTTTTTTTTTACAAGAAAATGTTTACTTTCTTATTCAAAGTAAGGAGGAGAATGACATCAGTAAAAAAAAAATTTCATTTCTTTAAATAGGTGAAGAGGTCAATCTATAAACATTTTAATACAGTCTTGCTTTTTTCATATTTGTCTAAATAAGTGAGGTTTAAGTACTAAAGGCATTCAATTCTATGCAGTCAGCAGAATCAAACACAGAAAATGGCCACTGTGTAGCAACTATCAATCAAGCATACACCCATAGAATAAAATACTATGCCCCCAAAGCCAATATTTAGCTGATAAAAGTTTATCACTGAATTGGGGGGTTGTACAGGGAAAGGAAGAGGCTAAGTATGTCCTTTTCATAATACTTACTATGAACATTTATCTCCTAAACATCATTTCAGTCGTTTATGAATAGCAATATGGGAAAATAAGTTAATGTTTGTCCATGATACACGGTGACTAACAATTACCTAAATCTCGGGCCTCCCCAGTGGCACAGCGCTTGAGCACTGGGTTGTGAAGCTGCCCGCAGCCTCTGCAGCATTGGTTCTATCCCCAGCCACCAGGCAAGGGTCCCACATGGCATGTAGACCTCTCCTGCCATGCCTGCTGCTCCCCTCAGCAGCGTATTTCATCAGTCTGCCTGTTCTGTTCCCAGCTCTGGCTCTGGTGAATTCTCTCACCCTCCGCGCTTCTGACTGTACCCAGTGCTTGTATAAATAAATAAATAAATCTTAAATCTTAAGACAGAAATATTCCCACTCAATCATACCTTTTTCAGCTCTTCTTTAGAGAACTTTTCATAAGGGTTATGTTCCAGATAAGTAATGTGCTCTGAGTTATTGGTACCAAATCCTACAGCTTTTCCTTTTTTATTTCCAGATGGTTCATAGGGATGATGTAGAAGGTCATAATGAAGCATTGTGATCATTTCTTTTTTAATTAATTCTTCACTTTTCTGTAAATCTGTTAGAGGTGGTTCTACATTTAAGGGTCTTAGAATAGTTTCATTTACCTAAAATTTTAAAACAAGTACAATTACTAAATATCACTGTCAATACTCTTATGTTATTACTTATTATAGCTTGAATAGCAGAACATTTTACATTTTCAAAAGAAATTCTATTTTTTTCTTCTAAATTCTTATTTATCACAGTAAGACAGTTTTAAAGACTGAATCTGAGAACTACCTTACTTAGATCTCAAAAAGTAGATAAAACTCAAGTTTTATAGACTTTATGAATGATATAAAAAGCATCAACCACATAACAAGAAATTTAAAACCTCCTAAGCCAGAAATTCTAACACTTACTTCTGATGGTCTTGGCAGATCTTTTTGAACAGCTTTGTGCATTCGTTTCAATTCCTTTACACGCTCTGCATCTCGTATAGCCTAAAAAATTATTTTTATATCCATTTATTACAGCTATACAGTATCTGACACATCTCAATAAAGTTGAAAACATTTTAATTCATAAGCATATGTATGTTCAAGAGCTAAAGTTGTATGCATGTAGATAAATTTGCAATATTAAGGCAACAAAAATAAATGCTTATTTCATTCTTTCCTTACAATAAAAATAAGAGCTTCCAAAGTCTACAATAGAGCATTCTAAACTTAGCGGAGACTCTCAAATCACTCCCCCTGCAAAACAACCCTTCTCCCCTTCCACCCCCAAAGCTAATATTTGTTAATTCAAAAAACTGTTTCCTGATTCTTAAATTACGAATGTGGGGTAATACATTAGAATTTCACACCACTTCTGACAGTAAATGTAAATCAAAAACTCCCTGGTGGCACGGGGAAGTCTCAGCGCTATCAAGCTATCGCCAACCACTACGGCATGAGTTCCATCCCTGGCAAGGGAGCTAACCAACATGATGCAGCAGACCTCTCCTGTCTCGCCCACTGCTCCGTATTTCAGTAGATTCACCTGTTCTGCTACCCACTCTGTCTCTGGTGAATCCTCTCTCTCTCTCTCTCTTTCTCTCTCTCTCTCTCTCTCACACACACACACACACACACGCCACACCTCTGGTCTACACCCCAGTTTTTGTATGCATAAATAAAAAATATTTTAAAAAATAGTTAAGACAACTAAACACAACAAGTATTATCCTATATACCCCACCAAAAAGCACATTCATGTGTTTTCCCTCTAAAATAGCTTCCAAAGAAGCCATTCTCACTCCAACAGTATGAAATTATTCAATTTCTAAAATCATCCTAAAATGAACTGTAGGAATTACCCAAAGGGTCACAGATCTCAGTTCAGAGTCAAGAGTCATCGCTTGCTAGCCATGAGATCTGGAAAAGTCAGCTAAATTCAACTTCACTTCTAAAATGAAGCCAATACCTATCTTATGTACATCACCAGGATGGTACGTGCAAATGAGAAAGTAAATTACATTAGTATAAAGTGTTATTAATATTATCTGACACTCTCTCTAAACTTCCAAATCCATATTTATTGGTTAACTTGACCTAAAACCATTTATTCAACAAATCCAAGTATACTTGTTTTTAAGACTGACCAAAAATATCTTTTCTTGGCAAGAGTGAAAAGCAGTATGTAAAAGACTATTTCGTATATTTCAAAGAAGGATAAGAGGTATTTAAATTACTATATACATCCTAAGGATGCCAATCAAAATACTGAGTACATTGTTACATGAGCATATATAGTGATGTAAAAGATTTAGTTTATTTTAGATAATAAAATTTTTTTAATAGAGATCTTGAGATAGTTAATGGCCATTCTTCATTCTTTCAGCCTGCCAACACATTCAGCAAACTTACACTTCCTATCACAGTTATACCCACCTGCTTTCGTGCATCCACATCAGCAGCATCTTCAATGTAAGTGTCATCGATTTCACGGTCTTCCAGCTCCTTCTCAGCATTTTCCGGTAGAACAATTTCAAAGTCATTCTTAGGGGCTGGAAGGCCCAACAATCCTAAACGGAGATGTTCACGAGATTCTCTTTCCTGTAGAAAAGAATTGGTCCTTCCGAATTCATACATATTAAGTATTCAACCAATGTTATATAAGAGTTTCTAAAAAATAAGTGGCCTACTTTTAATTCTAGAAAAATAATCCCTTAACTTCAGTATTGAGACTTTTTTAATTTTTTTCTCCATTTCTTCCCTACATCAAGATCAATCAAAAAATGTGATTTGTGATCAATGAAAATACTAACAGGAAGTTTGAGAATTACCTCTTCAGAGACCAAAAAGCCCCTTCAGGATTTCTATTGGAGGAAAACATTTCTAAGAATGAAGTTTAATAGTAAATGAAAAGAACAAGTTTAAAAGTCAATTTGTCCCTGGACAATAAGACCTAACCTGAAAAGATACCTCAATGTTGTATGTTTATTTTTAATGGAAATACTAAATTGTACACAGGCCAAAGTTCCCAAAGGAAATTGTGTGGGCCCAAACTTTTCCCAGGTACCTCCCTTGGCTTACCTTTCCAATTTTATTTCCCACTGGCCACCTAGCATATTAAGCATTATGCTAGGTGGGAGGACCAGATGAGTTGTATGAGTGTCCACACTTACCTCTGTTGTGACTATTCCCCCTTCTCCTTCTGAGCTCACTTCTTCAATAAAGGCTTTCCTAAAATCTGTCCAACAAAACAGACTATTCCTTTGATGACCCTAAAATGTGTTGGTTTTACTCAAAGGGTCTATTTTGTTCTTACAATTCTTTTTGGACTTGGTTTAGTACCTCCCATCTCTTGAAGGTATAAACTTCTTTAAGACAAAGGGACCCCCTTATTCAACTTTTAGATACCCTGGAGTGGCCAGATCTGTGCTTTGCACACATTTTATTTTTCTTTTGTTCCATTCTAATGTAGCCATTCAGAGAGCTGGCTTTAGTTGATATCAACTCGGGCATTTGAAAAAATAGAAATGCTAACCTAACCAAATCTATACATGAAGTTAAAATTAATTTGTAAGCTGAAAATAGGTTAACATCATCGGAATTCAATTTTTTTTAAATCTCACAATGACATTCTGTGGTATAAGCTAGTAAGTCCTAATAGTGAGATAATAAAAGCATAACGAGGACAGAAGCAAAACTGGTAGTTTTCTGTATCACCTTACAAAACATACAAAAGAAAACTTTACCAAGATCACCAGAAAACATCAAACTAACTTGGCATTAAGATCTAGACTATCCTTCTAAAACACTGCAAACAAAGGAATCAGTCTCAAAATCTTATTTATAAAGCATTTGAAGTTCAAAACTATTTTATAGAAATAGGATAAATATAAATTTGTCATTCAAGAAAATAAGCTATTAATTAGTAAATAAAAGTTGAAATCCTAAGCTACAAGGAGCATCACTATGAGCATAATCAATACTCATAAACATTAAGAGAACATAATTTTATGAGAATAAAAGGTTCCCCTTCTCAAGTCTTGCAAATCACTTTCTTTTTCTAGCTTTCATAGGTGTACAGATTCTTGGATATTTGTAATATGCACTGACAAGGGGGAAATTGTAGTTTGAAACCCAAGAGATATTTTTTTCAAGAAAGCTATTAAAAAGGAACTGACACGTACCATCTGCTTCACATAAGAGGGATCACTGTAGTCTGCCATTCCATCCTCAGGATTAATGTTTAACTTGTCTCGAAGAGGAGTTCTACCCGGGGTGGAGTTAATAACTGGTTTAGGAGTAGTCCCACTTCGGGGAGTTAGCCCTTCAGATCCATGAGAAGGAGTCCTAGAAAGACAGAAACTCCAGCTAGTCAAGATGCCACTTTTATTTATATTGTGCATTCAAACGTTTTTCATGTAAAGGTAAAGCAGAAAAGATTGATTCCGAAAACTGTCTCTCCTTCTGGTTATAAGTTAGATTTCTAACTTAAAACAAAGTCTAGTTCAGCTAGCTTAATATTTACACTTGTTATTTTTATAACTTCAAATAGTCACTACATTGGGCTTTTTCTTGCCTTCCCAAACCAAGGCCACCAAGCCCTTTTTGACACTCTGGGGTGACTGAGAACACATAGTAGATAGAGAGGTCAACCAGCACACTCCAAGACCCCAGGTGACTCTTCTGAGTTCATTGTCTTCATCATCTCATCATTTGTCTCCTCCCTACCCAGAGCTGTTGATTACCACATGATTATCATCAGTGTGCATAGTTTAAGTAGTTTCTCCCTTTACATTCTGTTTGGAAACCAAACACCAAGCATTTAGAATCACATCTAAATACAAATAATTCTCAGTGAAGGCTAAGAGAGGCTCTTAAGCTAAAGTTTGTAGACTTTGCAACTTATATTTTAATTATTCAAAGTCTTTTTTTGGGGGGTAGGGTGCTTACTTCCTGTATCTTGGCTGTGTTCCAGACAGTTGGTGATGCCAGACAGTTGTTCCCAAGAGGTGAGGTAGAGGTGTTACTGTATAATACATGGTCCCTGCCCCAAAGGAGCTTACAATCTAGTTGAGAGATAAGACATACACGGGGGGAAAAAAGGGATTAGGCTCTCTTGCAAGCCTTCCAAGACGTGTTAAATGTTATATAAGGATTTGGCCACCAATGTCTCTTGATCCTGCTGTAAACTACAGCTGTAACAGTCAAAGAGGCGTCCCATAAAACAACCAAGTAGGAGCACATAGCCTAATATTTAAAATTAAAATATCTCCTAGTATCTCCAGCCCTTAAAAGATCAACATGTTTAATGTTTGCATTTTTAAAAATCTTCTTTAAAAAAACATAGTATAAAAATAAAACACAAGAATTATAAACAAACACTGACCTCTGAATTAGTTAATGATATGCACAAAGAAGTGTTTAGAGGTGAAGTAGACTGATACATCTATAACTTATTTTGAAATGTGTGAAAAAGAAAGCTGGACTGATAGATGAACACATATGTAATAAAGTGAAATGTCAACAACTGTAGAACCTAGGTGGTGGGTATAACAATGTTTGCTTTACCAAAGGTAAAGGTAATCCAACCGTTCAGAAAGTTAGAAAGTTTTATAATAAAATGTTGGGGGGAAAACAATACTAATATATGCATAAAAAGGATATTTTTTTAATTCACCAAATGATCATTAACAATGAAGTGATTTCCTCTTAAATTAGATAAAAAGCATTCAGAAACAAGACGAAAAAACCAGAAACTCTGAAAAAAGAAGGAAGCTTCATATAGTATTTAACCATTTCCTAGGTAACTACTATTATTTAACAAAAAGCAAAATCAAAAAAACAAGTTGATCATTTATGTACATTCTCTGTCAACATTATTAAAGCAAACATGTCCAAGTTCTCAAATTCAAATTTTTCTAAATTAGAGAACATTTGCTTATTTACAATACCTGAACGGGGTAGAAAGAACAGTGTTGGGAGTCTGTACAACTTGCCGCTGTGGTGTCACACCTGAAAAGTCACTCTCATGCAAAGGGGTATTAAGTCCACCTTTTAATGGGGTGTCCACATTGGTGAGGGCCATAAGGTTCTGGGCTTCCTAGGTAACAAGAAGGTAAAGAAGTGTGTTTTAAAACAGCTTTACATGGGATAATAGACAACTTTATTCTGGTCCTACATAACTAATCTTCAAACAGGAAGAATCCTTACATATTTTCTCAACAAAGACCTGAAGAGAAAATGAGTACTGGAACATGGTGTAACAAACATGTCAAGAAATTTTGGCATAAAGTCTTACATGTCAAGAAACACTTTTGTAGTCTCACACGTGGAATTATCATTACCCAAAAGTTTTCCCTATTAGCTGTGCCAAATCTTTTTGGCAATTATAAACAACTAAGAATTTAAATTTCCCAATGTCAAAACACCTGTTCTTTAGTCTAGCTTTGTCACAATTCTTTATTCTTCATTAGCCTATGAGTCTCAGTTTCTTCACTGTGCTGTAAGAAGTCCCGAGTCACGTGGAGAGGCCACATAAGATTTATTCCACACTCCCAGCTAAGTAACCCAACCCACAGCCAGCATCAAACACCAGACACAGCAAGATGATGTGTCCAGCCCCTCTTCATTAAGTCACCCACAAATGTTGAGTCTCCGTAGCCAAGGCCCTAGACACCATGGAACAGAGGTAAGTCTTTCCTTCTATATCCTGTCTGAATTCCTGCCCCACAGAAACCATGAGAACAAAATTATTTTAAACCACTAAGTTTTAGGGCAAAATGAAGACAACTATAGCCAGACTTATTGCATGAGTCTGTCTTTATTCATGGAAAGAACATTTAACTTCATGTTGCCAAAGTCCTGTATGTGCTCTTTTTGCTATTCCAAAAACAAAGCATTTTCCTTACCTAGGAACCCAAAAGATTGGCTAGCTTTATGCCCTCTAAGCAGAAGGTTGGAAACTACTTCTCCAGGGAATCTTAACTCACGAGAAAAGATCTTAAAGACTATGCAGGGAAGACATATAAAATAAAACAAAACCAGGGGCCTCCCTGGTGGCACAGGGGTTAAAGACACAGCACTATCAAGCTATTGCCAGCCACTGCAGCATGAGTTCGATCCTCAGCCAGGGAACCAACCCACATGGCACAGACCTGTCCTGTCTCACCCACTGCTCCCCTCAGCAGTACATCTGCCTGTTCTGCTCCCCACTCTGTCTCTGGTGAATCCTCTCACTCCCCCACACTTCTGGCCTATACCCCAGTTCTTGTATGCATAAATAAATCTTAAAAAAAAATCATTATCAACTACAACAGAAAAATAAGAAAAAAATTCATTAAATATGAACAAGGTGTTTTAAAAAAATTGAACTTATGAAAGATCTCTTCAAAATTAAATACAGTGAAAATTTAACTAAAAATAAAATTCAGAAAGTTTCCTGGCACTAATCAAAAGACCAATTAAGACAAAAAACCAGGGGTCTCCCTGGTGGCGCAGGGGTTAAGTCACTGCGCTATCAAGCTATCCTCAGCCACTGCAACATGAGTTCGAAAGATCCCCAGCCAGGTAGCTGACCCACATGGCGCAGGAGACCTCTCCTGTCTCACCGGCTGCTCCCCTCAGCAGTGTATTTCAGTACATCTGCCGGTTCTGCTCCCCAGAACAGGTGAATCCTCTCACCCCTCACACCTCTACATTCTATTTCTTGTATGCATAAATAAATTTTTTAAAAAAGACAAAAAAACAAAGAGAAATAAATATAAAGATTCAAGGTTCGTAAAGAGATCACTAAAGGGGAGAAAATTTAAAAAAGTCAAAATAATTTCTTAGAAATGAAGACACCCTCCCCTCCCCTCATCTCCAGAAAGAAAAGGCTCATCAAGAACCTAGCATGGTGGTTAAAAATAGAACTTTATCAAGCAACTGCATGGGAAAAAGGCAAAGAAACATGTAAGATTAAGAAAAAGGAAAAGTTAGGTGGGTCTCAACAACAACAATGGAACCAGAAGACACTAGAGTATTATCTTCAAAACTGTGAAAAAAACACCCTATCAATTAGAACTCTACACCTAGTTACACTCTCAAGTAAGAGGACAGAACAGTAGTTTTGAGAAAGGGAAAGTCTTAAAAATTCCATCTTCCATGAACCTTCACTGAGAAAATTACTTAAGGATATGCTTCAATAAAAAGAGGGTGAAGCCAATGACACAAGAACTGGAAAGAGAAAATCCAAGAGACTTTCTGAGGCGACAGAGAAGGAAAATCAAGAGAACAAGTCATAAACAAAATCTAAAGTGCAGTCAGTTCAGATTAGAACATTCAGAAGTTCTGGGAAAAACTTTTTCAAAAGATGATATCTAGTCAAATTAGTGCTAAGCAATCAGAAAATTTAGCAAGTGACTACAACAAATATTGTAACTCAAAAAAAAAAAAAACCCAAAATACTGTGAAGTAAAGAAATTACAAGGCACTTTATGGCTCAGCAATAAACGTAATTTACAGTTTCTTAAGGCAACCACGAACATGCAGCTAATCAAAATTATATCATAACCATGATGAAGATAAGTGAATGCACAATGGAGGTAGAGGGTGTGAGAAAGCCAAGTGTTCAAATCTTAAGGTAGAAAATGCCTAAAACTGAAGGAAAAAAAAAATCTTAGCAAGAAGGTAGTTTTAAAAAGTAAAAGAGATGTACTAGTGTCTCTAGAGAGCAAGTAACAAAAGGCACAACTGTTTTTTATTACTATCTCTTACCAGACTATTTGCTGAATCAAAAACCTTAACAATATATATCTAACTATGAGAAAGGAGAAAATGAATGAAAGGATACTAAAAGACTCAAAAGTGTTTTGTCAGACACCCTAAGAACATACAAAGCCCTAACACCATGTTATTAGAGAGAGAAAGAAATGCAAAGAAATTTCATTTTTTTATATCCAAAGGGCAGGTTTATTATATAAAAAAGGGGAAAAAAAGAAAAAGAACGCTTGCACAGACACAAGGGGGCAGAAAGAAGTAAATTTTGGAAGGGGTAAGTTTAACAAAGAGGTGGTTGCATACACAGGCTGCAAGGAAATTTTAAAAATTATTGACTACATCTGATTTCTTTCTAGGATTTCTAGGCAATGTGATATTTTAAAATGCTATGCTTTGCTAACAGATACTAAAGACTAATGAAGAGAGAAGGTTTAAAAAAAAAAACCTATGAATTAATAAATGTAGAAACAAAACCACCAAATCACTGATTTTTTTTTTTTTTTTAATTTCATTCCCTGCCACAGAAATGTCTAGGATTTATGCATTCAGGACTCAGTTTCAAATTGTTTACCTTAAAGGAAACAACCGAACCACTGAGTATTTTCCTTCACACTACTTTTAAGGGCAATAAACAAAGTGAAAGGCTCACTCTACTACAAGACAGCTTACCTGCAGAATTCTGTCCTGAGAAGCTGGCGTTCGTGGTGTTCTAAGAGCGATGCTATTGTTGGTGACATTGTACTCAGACAAAAGAGTACTGGAAGCAGAGTTTGTTATGCCAGATTCCTCAGCAGTTTGACGTGCAATTTCACTTGCTTGACCTACTTTTACAACTTCCTGTAGTTCTGCATCTGAAATCTGGGGGGGGGAAAAACCAGTTATCATAGCAAGCAATATTTTAGCCAGAGACCAATACACTTTGAAGTTTTTCCACAGTCCAGAAAGATGAGCAGCTGAAGCTACGTGGTAAGTACACAGGGATTCATTGTACTTTTCTATCTTATGTGGGCCTATAAATTTATATAATAAAGATTTTAAGTCTTCCTGGTATAATGCAGGGGGCAAGGGAAGGGAGAATTCCATATATGACATATGCAGTATCAAGCTGCAAGCAAAGTCTTGTACTTCCATACATATACTTTCAAACCAACATATTAATAAATCAATAACACAGTGTTTGTACAAAACTATTCATCAATTAAAATAAGAGTCCACTGAACCACGAGATCACTAAGAAAATCAAAAGACATTATCTTAATTTTACCAAAATAAATATCCTAAGGTGTACTAAGAAAAAAAAATAGGCAAAATCTCAACTTAATATCACAATAAAAAAAAAAATATGTCACTACCAATAATGACAGCATCTGACAAGAATCCTGTGTTGATGCAGCCAATGCATTCACTTGGGGAAAGCAACTCTTTAGGTCAAAGTCCATCCCTCTGTTCCACTTAACTGTCCAATTCTACAGAACTGTACAACTCAAAAAAAGAGCTTATTTAAAACTCCCATTTCCTGACCAACTATAATTAAGTCAAAGGAACAGAGCCTGTTGATAAGCTGAGTGAAGAAATGTTTCTCTTTTCTTCACAATTCCCACCTTGAGTTTCACAATTGTAAGAAAAAGTATGACACAACGTAACATTCCCTTAAAAAAAAGGCAGGCTAAAGTCCATAAAGTCAAATAACATCTTCATCCAAGTCAGCTGTAAGAAAGAGGCCTGGAGCCCTAAAATGCTAACAAATTGCTAAGAGATAACAATTATTTACAAAATCATCATATGATCAGCTTAAGGCCTAATATAATAATTGATAAAGAAGTTTGTGCTCATTTATCACACTGTATCACAATGACTTATTTCTATAGGATGCTCACCTATAAGATTGTGCATTTCTTAAACGAACCTAAGCCAGCACCTAGCAAAAGCCTGGTACATAGGCCCTCAAATATTTGCTGAATAAATGATAACCATATGAGTTTACACAATGAAAAAACTTTTGATCAGATTACCTGAGGCGCAGGAAGTACTAATTTACTTCTCTTTTTAGTAAATTCAGAAACACCACTAGTTTGAAGAATAGCCGATGGTAAATCAGATTCTTTTTTCCTTTTCAAATGCTGCTTGTCTTTTTTTCTATCTCTTCCTTCCTTTTCACTGTCATGGATCAAGGTTGAAAAGAGAGTTTTTTAAAAGTCACATAGAGACAATAACATTAAAAGTACACAAATACTCAAAAAACATTTTAAACAAAGTAATTCTGTTTCTAAGAAAGTTACTAATGAAAAGACAAGTTAGGGGCCTTCCTGGTGGCGCAAGGGATTAAGACGGAGCACTCTGAAGCTATCGGCAGCCACTGCAGCGCGAGTTCGATCCCCAGCCAGGGAGCTACACACATGGTGCAGCAGACCCTCAGCAGTGTATTTCAGTACATCTGCCTGTTCTGTTCCCTCACTCTGTCTTTGGTGAATCCTCTCGCCATCACCACCCCCCCAACCTCTGGACTACATCCCAGTTCTTGAACACATAAATAAATAAATCTTTAAAAAAAAGACAAGTTAAATACATTAACTTGTTCCCTACACCATTACCTACCTTCTACATTCAAGAGAAATGCAGACTCAGACTAGCAACAGAATCATTACAAAAGCAGGATACACTTAGTAATTTTTTTTTTTTTTTTTTGCACATAGAACTGGAGTGTAGGCCAGAGGTGTGGGGAGGGAGGAATGATGGGGGGTGGAAGAGGATTCACCACAAAGTGGAGAGCAGAACAGGCAGATTTACTGAAACACACTGCTGAGGGGAGCAGCAGGCAAGACAGGAGAGATCAGCTGTGCCAAGTGTGTGTTAGCTGCCTGGCTGGGGATTGAACTCAGGCTACAGCAGTGCTAGTGCGAAGACTTAACCCCTACGCCTCCAGGGAAGCCTAAGTACTAAATATAAACTATGCCGCTATAAAGACTGATAAGCAAAATGAAACATAACATCAAAAGCAAAACATAAAATTACTCTGGTATCATGAACATTCATATAAAAATACAGGTACACAGAGAACAATGATATGAAGACAAGCATATAGAAAGGTAAACAATCATACAAAAGGGAGAGTATTAAAATAACGTCAATTTTTTAGTTTCCCCTTAAAAATGTTTATCAACTATTTAACTACACAAATTTTTCCAAAAGGGTATTTAAGTTCCAATAAATGAAGCCAAAAAGTTGTTAGAAAGCCAAAAGCCAGGCCCAAGGCCCTCTTCCATAGTTCCAGGAAGCATCTTGCCCTTCTGCATATCATGCTTTCTCCAGTCTTTCCCCTCATCCGCTTCTTTAAAATGATTTTTCCTCTTCAATATTTTACTATAGCACCTACCTAGAGGAAGGTCCTAATTTGAGAAATAAATACACTGGAGAACCATCCAAGAAAATCCTATTTTACAGAGGTTGACATCTGTTGTCAAGTAACAATTCACATCAACAGAAATGGAAAGTCAGTTGGGGAGCAGAAAACTAAAAATCTTTGACAATCAAAAAACCTCCTCCCCAAAATATTTAGATATAAGATTTAAATTAAATCTAAAACTCTCCAGAAATAGGCCAAATCCACACCCTATGACATACATTTTGTTTTCTTTTAAAGATTTATTTATTTATGCATACAAGAACTAAGGTACAGGCCAGAGATGTGGGGGGGATTTACCAGAGACAGAGTGGGGAACAGGTGGACTGACTGAAATAAACTGCTGAGAGGAGCAGTACGCATGACAGGAGAGGTCTGCTGCACCACGTGGGTCACCTCCCTGGCTGGGGATCAAACTCATGCTGCAGTGGCTGCAGAAAGCTTCATAGCGCTGTGATTTAGCCCCTAGCACCACCAGTGAGGCCCCCTATGACATACATTTTATAAATAGCTAATTATCTCCATCCAAGTGAAAAGATTTTAAAATACACTGGTAACTTCTTTAAATTTTACATTAGGAAAAACAAGATAAAATTTTTGCTAGGAAAAAAAAAAGCAGCAGATCAGATTTTGACAAGTTCCTTCAGGCAATTAGTAAAAATGTAAATCTGTTCACAAGTACATATAAATTTTAAGATTGTGACTCAATAAGACTAACAGCCAAGCACTAGTAATTCAAGAGATGGAAACCAATCTGTGCCAAATCATGACAGCCAGGGTTACTGGTTTTCTCAGAAAGGTTAAGAACCCATTAATTAAATAAAAGCATATGTAGGCCCACAGTGTGCTAAGTAATTTAAAAAAAAAAACCTGGCTCTGACAAAGATAGTATCTGGTCCTCTATAAAATTCCCATTATGTTTTCCCAATTTCAAAATCAGAAGGGCAACTTACGATCTTAGCTCCCCATCCAGGTCCTGCTGTCTTAATTTTCTGAAATCTGCATCAAGAGCCTGGTAATTTTCCTCAGATGTATCATAGAAACCAAGAGCAGGCTTTTTTTCAAACGGGATTTCAGCATTATAATCAACACCTCTCTTCTTTTTTCTTTTTTTCTGAATTTCTATGCCAGCTGCTCGAAGTTCTCTTCTCTTTTGGAGGGCAGCAAGACGTCTGAAGAAAAACAACACAAGATCACCTTGAAAAACATGTAACGTGGGAAACAGACGGATTAACCGAGCATTAAGAAACCTGGTTATTACTTGAGGAAGAAACATTTATTTAAATTCTCACCTCATATCATTCACCAAAATAAAATCCAGTTTTGATTTAAAGCTATAGGTACAAATATATGAGTGCACATATACAATAAAGCGAAGAAAAAAACCAGCAGGAAATATAAGTAACATGTTCTCTCTGTATAGGAATGTACTTATAAAATGCAAGTTAAATAAAGGGCATGAAAAAAGATTAATGGCTTTGAAATTTAAATTTTATATCTATAGCACTATTTTTAAAAATTCATGTAACAAAATTAAAAGGCAAAATATTCACAAGTTAATACTAGGGAACCTTACAAGTTTTGTATTTTTTTAATGCACCCTAAGGAGGAAAAAAGAGCAAAAGAAAACAGTTCCCAGAGGAAAAAAATACAAACAACTAAACAACAAAAGTTTTACTTAATTGATAAAGAATTATTAATTCAACAATATTTCTGCATATCTAGTTAATAATGCTCAATTAATGGCAAGTATACATAAAATGGACAGTTTTCTACAATGGTATGGTAATGCAAAAGTAAACTGATACAGTTTTCCCAAAAGAGAATTTGGAAATACACATTAAAACACCAGTTTTTCACATTTTTAACCCAACAATTTCACTCCTCAACCTTAAGCACAGAAAATAAATAGGCACATGAAAAGACTTAGTTACAAAACTATTCACTAAACACTGGGATTACTGAATAACTAGACACAATCTAAACATCACATTAAATGAAATTAAATGAATCTATAACATTAAGATAGGCTACTACAAAGAAATGGAAAGACATCCCCTGCCCATGGATTGGAAGAATAAACATTATTAAAATGGCCATCCTACCAAAAGCAATATACCGATTCAATGCTATTCCAATCAAAATTTCAATGTCATTCTTCAAAGAAATAGAACAATTATTGATGAAATTCATATGGAATCACAAAAAACCCCGAATAGCCAAAGCTCTACTGAAAAAAAAAGAAGGAAATGGAGGCATCACACTCCCAGACTTCAAACTATACTACAAAGCCATAATCATCAAAACTGCATGGTATTGGAACAAGAACAGACACACAGACCAATGGAATCGAATAGAAAATCCAGAAATAAACCCACAGATTTATGGTCAACTAATCTTTGACAAAGGAGCAAAGAATATGCATAGGAGCAAAGAAAGTTTGTTCAATAAATGGTGCTGGGAAAACTGGGTTGCTACATGCAAAAGAATGAAGCTTGACCACTACCTCACACCATACACAAAAATCAACTCAAAATGGATTAAAGAACTAGACATAAGACCTGAAACCATAAAATACATAGAAGGAAATATAGGTGAAACACTACGTGATTTGCATATCAAAGACATCTTTACAGACACATCACCCAAAGCAGTGATAGTGAAGGCAAAGATAAACAGCTGGGACTACATCAAATTAAAAAGCTTCTGCACAGCAAAAGAGACAATAACAAAAACAAAGAGAAACCCCACCGACTGGGAGAACATTTTTGCACCCAACACTAATGATAAAGGACTGATCACAAAAATCTGCAAAGAGCTGATGAGACTCAACAACAACAAAGAAAATAACCCAGTCAAAAAATGGGCAGAAGAGCTAAAAAGAAACTTCTCTGAAGAGGAAATGCAAATGGCCAACAGACATATGAAAAAATGTTCAACATCACTTGTAATCAGGGAAATGCAAATCAAAACTACCATGAGATACCATCTCACACCAGTGAGAATGGCACATATTAAAAAAACTAGCAACAACAAATGTTGGTGAGGTTGGGGAGAAAAAGGAACTCTCCTGCACTGTTGGTGGGAGTGCAAACTGGTCCAACCACTATGGAGAGCTGTGTGGAGATTTCTGGACCTACTAAACATAGAGCTTCCATATGATCCAGCAATTCCACTCCTAGGTATTTACCCAAAGGACACAGAAACATCAATTCCAAAGAACACCTGCACCCCTATGTTTATAGCAGCACTATTTACAATAGCTAAGCTTTGGAAACAACCCAAATGCCCAAAAATAGATGACTGGATCAAGAAGATGTGGTACATATATACCATGGAATATTACTCAGCATTCAAAAAAGATAAACACATGCAATTTGCAGCAACATGGATGGCGCTGGAAGGGATCATGCTCAGCGAAATAAGCCAAAAAGAAAAAGAAAAATACCGGATGGTCTCACTCATAACAGGAATCTAGAAAACTTAAATAAGGGATCAGGAAAATGAATAACTATAAGAAAGTAAAAATCAAAATCAACAAAAAACTATGAACCAGAGACACTTTTTGGGGGGTGGGAGCCGGGAGGGGAGGGATTGGGGTCAGAATGGGGCATGTGCAGTTGTATGGGGGAATATAAAAATAAAATTTATTATTTAAAAAAAAAAAAAAAGCTAATACTGGTCTATCTAATTTGTAAAATAAAATTATCAAGCTGCATGACTAAAAAAAAAAAGAAAGAAAGAAAAAGATAGGCTACTACGTAAGTATCTATATAACCTTTGAAAAGCCTGTGAATCTACTCTGATGTGGAAAGATGCCCAAGACATATTGCTGTGTATAAAATGTGACAAATTTTATATATTGTAGAACATGTAAAAATTATATGCACATTTGTCTGTAACTTTATTGATACTTTCATATTAACTATGACAATTCCTGGAGATTAGAATTTCATTTGATTTTAACTTTTCTTTATAGTTTCTCATAATGCTATCATCTTAATGATTTAATAAGAAGTATTCACAATATTAAAGGGGGGGAATCAAGCTACAACATCCAGCATAAGAGGTTCTGCAAACCCAGAACTGGTGAAAATCAGTAAACTAGAAGTTTCTGGAAAGTATCTTAGGGGGATATAGCCAATGAAAAAACATTCAGGAAAGTCTACTAAAATATGCTAAGAAAACAAAAAGGTCTACAGAATTTGAATCAAGACCCACTCAGTCTCCACTTGGCCCCTCCCAAGTCATGGACACACAAACTTCATTCCACACTGGTGCAGTCAAGAACACAGGGCTCTCGGGCCTCCCCGGTGGTGCAGTGGTAGAGCGCTGGGTTGCGAAGCTGCCCGCAGCCTCTGCAGCACCGGTTTGATCCCCAGCCGCTGAGGGAGGGTCCCACATGGTGCGCAGACCTCTCCTGCCACCCGCTGCTCCCCTCAGCAGTGTATTCCATCTGTCTGCCTGTTCTGTTCCCTGCTCTGGCTCTGGTGAATTCTCTCACCCTCCTGCGCTTCTGACTGTACCCAGCGCTTGTATAAATAAATAAATAAATCTTTTTAAAAAAAAGAATACAGGGCTCTCTCGTCACTACTCTGAGTAGAGGGCTTTCATTCCAGGAGGAGTAGGTCACCAGAATTTCTCATCCTGCCTCTAGATACTCATTGCAGCAGCTAAGTTCCATGAAGAGTGGCTGAGAAATAGGGGTTTCCCTTCTTCTGTCCAGACTGAGGTTGTACCTTAAGTACAGTGCTGCTAAGAAGACGGGACAGCCCTTACCCCAGCTTATGGGATAAGGATTCCTTGCTGGGAAAGAAAAGCCAAAGACTCCTGTGTTGTTGCCCACAACCCCCATTAGGCATTTAATGCCAAAAGTGGGGATATCACTTAGACACAAACATGTCAGAACCCAGAAGTAAAACAGAGAACTCCAAATCTTTCCCCAAAGACACTGACTTCATTTGCAAGAGATGAAGTTCAAGACTAAGGGCACTCTCAAAAACTGTGAAGTTGTGGGCAAATGCAATTGGGAAGGAACTGATACTCTTTAGAAATATAAACTGTGAACCCACAAATGCGCTAGAGAGAAACAAGTAGGACAAGCCCCCTTGAGGTCAGAAAAATATCTATCAAACACTGACCTCAGTTGACTGGATCAGTTTGTGGAGCAATGCTGAAAGACATTGCTGAAAATAATTCAGCAACCAGCCATCAATTAGTAGAGTTCAACAGCTGGATGTAACCAAAGAAAGAGATGTAAAAAACTCCTGTTAAAATCCTGTCATCCCAGGATGACTGACTGTGGACATGCCAGGACTGCACTCCCATGAGGAACACCACCAGAGGTTTTACATGCAGTAAGAGAGGGGACAGAAATTACTACATAACCCAGCTAGTCACTAAACAAATAAGCAAGAAAAGAACATTAAGAAGGACGTGAAGGGAACATTAGTACCCACAACTGCTGCAATAAATTATCCAAAGCATTCAGTTCCCAACAAAAAATGAGACATGCAAAGTAACAGAAAAGCATGACCCATAAACCAGAAAAAAGGCAAGCAACACCATCCATGAGAGTGAACCAAATGTCAAATTTGACAGGCCAAAAAGAAGTCAGGATAAGTATGTTCAAAGAAAAGGAAACCATGATTAAAGAACAAAAGGCATGAACACAATGCTGCATCTGACACAATGCTGCATCAGACATCAATGAAGAGATAGAAATGATTTAAAAGAACCAAACGGGGAAATTCTGCAGTTGAAAAGTATAGAGCCAAAATGAAAAAGAGAAACTCAACAGTAGAAGAAAATGAGTGAAATGAGTGAACTTGAGGACAGATTAATAAAGACTATGCAATCCCAAAAACAGGAATATAAGAGGCACGAATAGAGCCTCACGGCAATGCGGGACACCATTAACTGTGCTAAAATATATACTATCGGAAAACTAAGAGGAGAGAAAAAGGAAAATAAGCTATGTGAGGAAATAGCAGAGAATGTCCCAAATTTACTAAAGTCATTACCTACACTTCCAGGAAGTGCAACAAATTCCAACAAAGAGAATCAGAAAGAATAATCACAAGAAATACATAAAAATGCTGAAAGCCAAAAATAAGGATACAATCTCGCAGGTAGCAAGAGAAAATTGATTCATCACTCACAAGGGAACCCTAACTAGAGTAACAGCTGATTTTTTAGCAAATCAGCATTACAAAAGGATTCAATTTTATATAAATGTTACTGCATAAGCATACACACAAATATACATCTATACTTGAGAGAAAGAAAAGAAACATTTCAAAAATAAAATAATTTCATTCTTTTAAAAAGGCAATAAAGGGCCTCCCCGGTGGCGCAGCGGTTGAGCGCTGGGTTGCGAAGCTGCCCGCGGCCTCTGTGGCACCGGTTTGATCCCCGGCTGCTCCCCGGCCACCGGAGGAGGGTCCCACATGGCGCGCAGACCTCTCCTGCCGCCCGCTGCTCCTCTCTGCAGTGTACTTTGGTCCTTCTGCCTGCTCTGCTCCCCGCTCTGGCTCTGGTGAATTCTCTCACCCTCCCGGGCTTCTGACTGTACCCAGTGAATGTATAAACAAACAAACAAATAAATAAAACATGCCTCTAAAAAAAATTTTTTAAAATAAAAAAAAAATAAATAAAAAAAAAAATAAAAAGGCAATAAAATCTTTTCAATAAAATCTTTTCAATAAAATGCTTACTGAAGATAACTAATCCACATAGCATCATATCAACAATGCACCCGAAAGAAGAGTGAAGAAAAAGTGTATTACCTATATAATCAATAGAAAGCTTTAAGTTATAAAACAGATCTATAATTTAGCATTAGACAGACCCAATCTGCACTCTGCATAGAGACCAAAATAGTTACTTAAAAGGTATGTGTAACCACGTAAGTGATAAAGCTGTGTAGATTCTACAGTGCAATTTATAAGAAAGTATAAGGTACTCTAATTTAAATCTACAAAAATTTACTTGAAGCAACAGTAGATATGCTTGAGAGATTTTTTTGTTCATGCACTTGCCACATCCCTGGCCCAACCCACATGGTTAAAAATGTTCGAGACATTTCGTTCCCAAACAACCATCGACATAAATGGAAAATTACACTTTTTTCAAAACTATACACATTACTTCACATTAAATAGTGTAAAGAATAAAAAGGTGGCTGACACTTTTAGTCTCTCCTCTTGGTTTCTATGTACTGCCCCAGGCCAGTCATACTCCCAACCTAATTATTCTGACTAGTTAAGAATGGCTAACTAGCCAATGACTGGCTAAATGGCTGCCTATGCCAAACATGAAAGAATCCCCCATCCCAAGATATGGGGCTTCAAAGTCATTACTGAGAAAACCATGAACACAATGCTAGTCATCAAAAGGTCAGAATGTACTTCCCAGCTTGAGGACTACAAAAGGCATCTGCGTAGGCTAGACCTTATTCCAATGCCTAAATTCCAAAAACTAATTAGCTGCACAGTCCAAGTTTTCCCTTCATCTTCTTCATGTGGTTTCTGGGTCATCAGACATGTCAATCATGGTTCAAACTCAAAAGAAAAAGAGGCAAGTGGAAAAATCTGCAATAGAGGGCAATACTTAATTCACTCACTCACTTTTTAAATGAACATTTCTGTGAGAGCCTAAAATTTGGTTTAAGGCTTATTGATCTCATCCTGTAAGTTCAACCAAGTTTCCCATTTCACACCTACTGCTTACCCAACACTAATCAAGGCAAGTGACTAACCGGCAGTCATGCAGAAGTCATGTAGCCTTGTGTATGCGCTAACCATCTGATCAGCAGATGGCTACAAGTCAAGTCCTCCTATGCTAACAGAACAAATGCAAGATACTGAGTCAACTATCTGGACATTACTTCTGTCATGTCTCACAAAAAAATTTGTAATGTATTTTTTCTGAAACTATTCTGAAATTGTGGAGAGAGGAGACATTTTCCAAAGTAATAAAAAAAAGAGACTTACAGAATATTATCAAAATTAGAATTGGACAATTCTAATTATTACTCACACCCAACAGGGCTGATAAACCATGTAGTTTTTAGTGGGTCTAGGGATGCACCGACTAATTGTTCAACTACAGATGGAACCAACCATACCTTGCTTCTTCTAATTGTTTCTCTCTTGCTTTCCTCTTGGCCTTTTTTCCCTGAGTATTAGCCAGGCGAGCTCTAGCTTCAGAAAGCATCTCAAGTTCATCTGCAAAAATTAAGAGAAGAAAAACTAAGTCCTTTTCCAACAGCAACAAGGTATGTGAGAAACATATCCTAGTGCTTCAGGAAGACGGGAGTCCAAAATTCTGACCTGCTGGCTCTCACCTCTGAATGGGAATGAGAATACAGAATCTTCAAGGGCTTACTGATAGTCTCTAGAGACTCTGTCCAGTAGCATTCCACTGCTTAATTTATTAGATGAATTGATAAACCTCAAGATAAAGGGACACTGTCTAAAAGAGCAATTATTCTATAATAGAAAACTGGACACATCCAAGAGACTTATACTAACAATTACAGATAGAACAAGGAATCTAAAAATCCAAAGAGTTCAGAAAGGAACCAAAAAGTTAAAAAGAGGCCTGAGGAGTTAACAATGACCAAAGAAATAAATTCCTTGCAAGCATATACTTACCTTCATCCATATCAATTGGATCAGGCCGTGCTGGTTTTGTTTCTGGATTTGGATCTATTTCTCCAGGTTTAAGTTTTCTTGGATCATCTGTTGTTTCCTCTTCATTGTCTCTCTGGGCAGCTTTATCCCTAAAAAAGAACACAGAGGAATCAGTCACATTATTACACCATTAAGTCTTAGAAACACGAGGTTTCCCAACTCCAGCACTCTTTATTTCTAAAAACCCAACGATGCGCACTAACAAAAAGCAATTCTACTATTGCTTTACCTAAAAGAGATTGTATTACAATTCTAATTTCACTAAGTGTTTTCATTCACTATGAAATAGGATTCAGGCAGTTCCTTAATCAGGAATGCAATGCTGCTATACAAATAATCTATTAGCGAAAAAACAAGATGTCCCAGCAGTGTGATTATGGGTGATTTTTCTTTGCTTTCACTATTTTTGCCCAGATTTTCTACGATTAATATGTATGATTTGGGGCCTCCCCTGGTGGCGCAGTGGTTGAGCGCGGGGCTGCGAGGCTGGGGTTCATTCCCCAGCCGCCAGCGAAGATCCCACCAAAAAAAAAAAAAAAAAAAGTATGACTTGTATACATTATTGTATACATATATACACTGTATATATTGGCCTTTTAAAAGCAAACAACGCCCAATTTTGATCAATAACATTTAAATGTGGATTATGATTCAGTCAGTTTTAGCTCCGTTGAATTTAATAAGATCTGTAACTTAATGCTTAAACTGCTAAAAGTTTACTCAGTGTCATTCAGAAGATATACACATTTTTATAATGCTTTTTTATATTCACTTACAAGAGAAATTCATAGTGCTCCAAGCACTGCGCAGCTGTTCTTCCAATGATTGGAGCAATGGTTCTCCACTGTGTTGGCATCAATTTGGCCAAATGCAAGAGTTTTTCCTCCTCTTCTCTGGACCATTCTGTCTTCTTAATGCTTGGATCCAGCCATTCATACCTATTAAAAAAAATACCATTTTATATATTAATCAGATGCCGAACATGAATATCCTATTTAAACATTAGATACACCAAGCTCTAATAACTTAAAAAAAAAAAAGCAAGCTGACTTTCATCTTTCAATTATAAGCACAATAGTCACCTTGGTTAAATGTAACCCATTCAATATTCCTTACTGTCACCAAATTTGACTGTATTTTAATTATGCAAGGTTACCAATGCTTAAAAAAAAAGTAATCTGGCTGAAATATACGCCTTCCTTCTCAACTACTACTTCCATTTACTTTATACTATTAGAGATTTTGCAATTTCTTTGGAAATAAGACAATACAACCACGTTTTTATAGTGTTTCTAGTTTTCATAGCACTTTCTCATACTTTGATTTGATTCTCACAACTACATGGCTTGCTTCTTCAAGCATTTGACTTTAACTAACTAAATGCTTTTCAATATCATCTGTTTTCGTCTGGTATGTTTTTAAGTAAAACTACTGTTACCGTGTCTTCCTTAATTCCCTACGTAACCCACCTTTTCTATTCAGTCTACTTAGCTGGATGAGAAGCTGGCAAACAAAATCCAAGCCCTACCACACATGGGGGCAGGAACCCCATGCTTCTCAACACCAAGAGAAGCAGAAATCAGAACCAATTCTTCAGGTTGAAGACCAGCTTCCTCTTCAAGATTCTTTCCCCTACTCAGGTGCCTAGAAAATTAGATCACTCTTGTACAAGTCAAAATAATGTTCCTAGTGCCACATGGATCAAGATTGTTGCCAGATCAATCATGGCAAGAACAAGTAAAGAGCTTAATGTATCCACTATCCTGTGATTTAAAGAGACATCACAGGTGTAGTATTGGCTTATGATATACTCTGAGGTAGTAGATATACAGTATTTCAACTGTATTGTGAAGAAACTCAAATGCTATATACTAGTGTATAAAACTAACCATTATTTATCAATTATTTCTTTAAGAAACTTACCTTCTACAACAGCCAACTTAGAAACTTTTGGAACACAATCCATTTGTAAGCAGGGGCCCCATCTGTACCTAAAGTAGATTTATTTCGTGCTTCACAAAGCACTCTCAAACATATTAACTCATTTGAGCCTCAAATCTCCATCAGTTAGGACCAAGTATTATCTCTAATTAGTAGAAAACAGGAGCAGATGAAGAGCATAGACAAATGGCTTGCCTAAGACCACACAGGAAACGTATGACAGCTAAGTGCAAAATCTAAATTCCTATTTATAACTGTTACAGCACAATGCCTGCTTTCTTTGGTGAGGGTCAAAAAAATAACATTTTTCCTCATAATTAAGGTCATTTTCTGGTTTCCACTCATTAACTAGCACATACCATCTGGCTTTGCACTGCTTTGCTGATTTTCTGTGTAGAAGTGAGGCAATCCTAGACCATTGGTTTTTCCCATATTTCATAACCGCTGCTTTCAGAATTTCATCCTAAAAAATTGTCAAAGAAAAAGAGTATATTCAATCATAAAACTCCAAGTGAGAAAACACAGAATTTACAGTACCTCTGATAGGGCTACTAGAAGAGAGACATACACACACACATTTTTTTTTAAAGTACAAAAATTATTAAACAGTAAGCCAGAACTAGCAAAATGTAAGAAACTAAGAAGAACATCCATTAAAAGAACATACTGCCCACCCTAACACACACACACACACACACCCCAATAAGTTGGGAGTGAGTACAGCCAGATCTAAGAAATTCTACTTGATAGAAATTAGCAAAAATATTCTCCAATGTGTGGCTACCCCTCTCTTCAAAAGAATACAGTTCAGCCATTCATTCATTCAAAAAACATATCCTGAACATATACTTCTCTCTCAGGTGTTGGTACTTAGAAAATTCAACAGGACACACCCAACCCTTAAGAAGCAAGTCAAGGCTCTGGTGAATCCATTCTGCAGCCCAGGTTTCCTGGCTCCAATTTCCAAACGACATTTTCCTCTTCATGCCCACAACCCCCCCACTCTGAATCAAAAATCCACACCTAAAGTCTAAGCTAACATTTAAGTATTTCTCTCCCCCCTCACCAGCCAGCTCTCCCTCCAACCTCCCTCCAATCTTTAGATACTATTTCACCAGGACATCCATCTGGTCATGGAATTCTCTGATTCCATGGAAGCCCAGCAAACTATGCCACGGACACCAAAGATAACAGAGTAAGAGATAATGCACTTGAGGTATTTTACTTTTAGGTCTTTTCCACACTGGACTTGAGCTATATGCCTCATACAAGAGTCATGGGCCACTCCACCCTACCCTATTTCCTCCTCTAGTCCCCCAATAGAGAGAAAAAAAGACTTTGGCTTTGGCCATTACATTACATGGCAATCCTGCTGTTTATTGATTTGTACATCTGTCTCTCCCCTAGAAGTATATGTGCTCCAATTTAAACAGCCTGGTTCCCTCCATACAAGCTGTGAGACAAAGTTGCCACTGATTTTATCTGTAACTTCCCTGCAGTACAGCTATACTTAATCACATCTTCAATTAAGTATACAGCAGTTGTCCACCCCATCACAGTCACCTGGCAAACATTTAGCAAGCAACCTACTTCACGGTTCAAAGAAGACAAAGATCTGGAAGGCTTACAGAACTATCTTCTGGAGTAAATATTTAGCAACTAGCATTTACTGAAAGCCCAGTATGTGCCAGGCTCCATTCTAAGTGTTACAAATGTGTTACCTCACTTAATTCTCTAGAGATGTAGACATCACTGTCATCCCCATTAGAAAAGTGCGAAAATTAAGGCTCTGAAAGTTTACGAAGCTTACCCAGAATCACATGCTTGCAAAAGGACAAGGCACACCATAAGCAATGGTGGAACTAAGTGCCATGGAACAAATGAGGATGCAACTAATTTTTACAGGGCGAATGGGCAAAAATCCCAAGAAGAGTTTCTGAATTGAGCTTTGAACGCTGGTCAGAAGGCCAAGCAGGAGGCTATTCTAAGAAGGTACACAATGGAAAAAGACACAGAGCATGAAGAGACAGGTGCCCCCAAAACTGTCAGTACACTCTGAACACAAACAGCACTAAAATTTCTTTTACACTCTCTACTGCCCTGGCATTATCCATTACACTTCTGGAAGCAAAAAGAATACTGTAAGCAGTTTGTCCTATCTGGCTTCTCTCCAGGCTGGGGCGAAAAGACAGGAAGATAAGAGACAGGCCTTGGAATCCATCGGGAGGACAGACAAGTTACACCTTGACAAGAGATAACCAGCAGGATGCAGGCATAAGGGAGGGGCCTCTTCGAACCTGGCAGTCAAACTGCTTCCCCTCTGCAAACAAGTCAATAAATAAACAAAGTTGTGGCCCCGGCACTTCTTTATTTTTGAGTCTCAGAGACAGGCAAGGTTCCCGAGCTGAGGACCGAGGGGGCCTCGCTGAAGTCCCATCTCCCCCGCCACACTGAGAGTTCCACCAGGGTTGTACGGGGGCTAGGGGCGCATTCAGAATCCTCATTTCAACAAATGTTCACTGCGGGCTTAACAAGTGTCTGGCAGGTACTCTAGTGGTTAAATCACGGCCCCGGCCCTTGAGGTCTCCCATAACCCCGGCCCGGCACACAGCAGGAGGGCCGAGAGTCCGCTCCGCACGGCCCGCAACGCAGACCCCGAGGGGCATCCCCTGGCCTGGCCGCCCTCCGCGCGCGTGCGCAAAAGCCACCAGAGGGGGCGAAGGGCAGCGGACGGCGGGAAAAGGGGACTTACCTCGGTATTCCTCCACACGCCCCCCTTGATCATAATTCGAGGCATCCTGGCGGCAAGGTGTCTCGGCAAGTGGCCGAGAGGAGGTTCAGAGAAGTAGTAACGGCGCTGCGGCCACGGGACCGAAAGCCGACACTTCCTCCAAGCGCGACCTTCTGCTTTGAAGAAATCTGCGCAGGCGCAAGGGGGGGGGGCGGAGAGCGTAGTTGCAGGTCTCGCGAGAACTCGGACCGCTGAAAGGAAGTAAGTGTCTTGATAAAGGTCTGCTTAGGAACACTGACAGAAAACCATCAAACCACTCCGGCCTAAGCGACCGACGCCTCGCGCAGGTCCAGATAGGTTGGGGAAACCACGGCTCTCGCGAGATATTGACCGTAACTTCTTTGGCTGGGAACGCAGTGGTGGGATTGCTCGTGACGTCACCCAGTGGGAGAGAGTGGGAACGTCATGCTTGTAGAGTTTCGGTCCAAGAAGAGCTTTGTTGAATTACTCGTTTCTCACTTATTAGGCATTTAATAATGATATATTTACAGAATGATCAGGGAAAAGTTATGACTTATTTACCAGTGCCCTATCCTGTAAAATAGAGATAACAATGGTACCAAACTCATTGGACTGTCCTAAGGACTAAAATGAGAGCATAAACCTGGTACAGTATTTGGTACAGCAGAACTGCTCAAAAAAGTGGCAGATATTATTACAAGAAGTGCAACTGGGAATCAATGGTTGTCCCAGAAACCCCCAGAAATGTCCGTTTTTCATTTGTAGCTATTCAGACTAAATCAACAATAGTTGCCCTTGATAGGCACTGTTACTAAACCGGTTGAGATCTTAGCTCTCTCAATAATCAACTTGCCCAATTTCAATATCCTTATCTGAAAAGTAGAGCTAACAATACCTACCTCACAAACTTTGAGGGCAAGTTAATTGAAACATAACTGAAACAAGGAGGAAGGAATTGTCAGGCTATCTGCCACTCCACCTCTCGATTACTCATTTTTTTTCCTTTATCATTTAGATGGTCTCTTTGTGCCAGACCTGGAAGATATGAAATATTTAGTTAGTGGACTGGAAAACACTGAGAATGTAATGCCTTTCTCTTTGTATTCCTTCATTTCTCCTTTTGCCTCTTCTGGAAGAGTTACATAATTTTCTGATTAGATTTTTATTAATTACTTTTGCCCTGAAATGGGACATTGTATCAATAAAATCACTGTTTTCTGTTGAGGGGAGGCAGTGTAGGATTATGAAGAACACACATACGTGGCTGTATATCAAGTCAACTCCTACCTCTGCTGTCAACAGATGTGTGACCTTGACAACCATTTCTGCCTATGAACCTGTCTTTGCAATGTTCCTTTGTAAGACATATGACCATTACCTCCTGCCTACCTTGCCCTCAACATCTACTACCTTGTTGTGAGTACAGTCTCACTCACACACACACAGAGAGACCATTTCATTGATTGGATCAAAACTGAGCCCATTAAGCCTGTTTCATAGGAATTTTGACACTGGAAGCTAGAAAAAATCAGTATCTCTGCTGGCCACTGAATCTCTAATGTTTGACCACCAGGAGTTGCCTGTCATCATATTTTGTACTATGTACACTAAGAAAGTGGGCTCCAAATGCTTTGAGAGAAATAGAAAGGAGCATATGGAGAAATCAGTGGGTCTGACTAAGCCACAACTCCTTTCAGACCACCAGTCTCCATCTCTTCCCTCTCTGCACCTTAGTCCCAGCTGCATCCCTGTTCTTGCATTCTGATAATTACTTCCCCTTTTAATTTTACCAGTTGTGTTGCTATTATTTATAAACAAGAGTCCTAACAAATCCAGAAATTGGACCATTCCTCCCTTAAGAGTCCTTTCAAATCTTACATTCCAAGAGCCCATAATGACAACTTCTCCCTCCCACGCAGGACTACCCTACCCCAAATGTCATCTACCTGTCAACTAGAAAAAAAGTGCCTCTTTTTAAGATACTCTACCACCACCTGCTGGGAATTGCCACAAAATACTCATGTTTTGAGAACAGGACACTCTTATAAAAGAAAGTTAGATCTACCATGTCTATGTCTGTGATGTAAATTGCACCTCTTCTCCCCTGTACAACCTGCCTATAGCGATAGGCACCCTGAACATGCAGACTGAATGTCCCAGTTCAGATTTCAAAAAATGCAACATCATCCCAGTTCGGGGATGTCTAAAACCGGAGTCCCATAGCCACAAACACCAGAGGTTGTCCTCCAGCGTGGCCTGGATTGACCATTCACCTCTACCATATCATGCTGGCCTTCCCAGCCTAACCTCAGGACCCCATGAGAGACAATCTCCACCCCAGGGTCTGCCAAGTGTCTCTGGCAGAGCAGCAATAAGGAGCCAGCAGGAACTCTATATACCCCAATGCCAGTAATTCATAATATTTTTAATACCCATGGCTAATCATCTAAATTGACTTGAGTTTCACCTACTGGTTTGTAGGGGTTTTTTTAAAGATTTATTTATTTATGCATACAAGAACTGGGGTGTGAGCCAGAGGTGGTAAGGGGAAGGTGAGAGGATTCACCAGAGAGAGGGGAGCAGAACAGGCAGATCTACTGAAATACACTGCTGAGGGGAGCAGCATGCAAGACAGGAGAGGTCTGCTGTGCCATGTGGGTTAGCTCCCTGGCCAGCCAGGGATCAAACTCGTGCTGCAGTGGCTAGCTATAGCTTGATTGCGCTGTGTCTTTAACCACTGGGAACTGCTACAAAATACTCATGTTTTGAGAACTCATGTTTTGGGAGGCCCTGGCTTGTAATTTTTTCTCAGGAGTTCCCCTTTATGGGTATTGTTTCTTGGGAGTTGCCTATGCCCTGAGGTGAGGAAATGCTCCCAAAGAGGACTCAAAATTACCAATCTGGTCACTTCTATCTAGACCCTGTAGCTGTATGGCACGGGCTTGCTTGGGATTTACATTTCTCTCAGGAGGCTTTTTTTTCATATGCATAGACTAGAACCCATATGCATATGGGTAGTCTATGCCCAACTACCTCCTGGACAAGTCCACCAATATGTGCCACAGGTTCCTCAAACTCAACTTCCCAAAATTGAATTCCCCCAAGAAAACCTCTATTTCTCCAGCCTTCCTTATTTCCATGAATAGTACAGGCCTGCCATGTGAAAAGTGTACTTCACGAAGGGACATACGGGCTGAAATCACTTTGCACACTGTTCACCAAGCCATAATCTGTGTTATAGTGTGCACTGAGAAGGTATCTTCTCTAGATAGACCAAGATACCATATGGGCGAGATGTCACCAATCTACCTGTTGCCGTTTTTCCTCCCTCCATACCTTCCATCCACCCATATCCAACTCATGCCCTTTTACATCCTATACAGACCTCAAATCCACCTTCCTTTACCACCGCTGCTATAAGTTGCCATATTTGGCAAATAAGAAATACAGAACTCCCAGTTAAACTTGAATTTCAAAATAACAACCAAAAAGATTTAGTATAATTATGTCTTGTGCTTCCATTTTGTCCTCCCTTTTTAAGAGAAACCCAAGTTTGACTCCAGTCCACACTATGCCCAACCAAAATGAAGACATTTCCAGCCAGATAATCATACCCATGCTCACGCTATCACCACTAACAGTTTTCCCATTTGGCTTTTGTGTATGCCTTAGTCTCCCCAAAATGCACATGTACACACAGACACCCTACCCAAAGTTGGGAGTGGAACACTTCATCTCCCAGCTGTTAGGCATGCCATGGAGTAAGGCCCCACCTCTAACATGTGCCCATGGAGAACTCCAATGCCAATGAAAGGTGTCCTGATTTCCAAGGGATAATGGAGTGGGACCCTGAGACTCCATAAGTTCAGTCATTTAATAGTTCTCTTTAAAATCCTATCTACTCAGGTTTTGAGTAGCATCTAGGAATTATATAGACCTCCTTGAAATCTAGAGAAATACAGATCTTTTCAAACTATGGTTTCTTTGTTTTTTTTTTTTTTATAATTACCTTTACTGAGTAGGACTCTTTCCCTCCAAAACACCATGGTACTTCCTGAAAGCAATTTCCTGTTCTACCAAGATAATCCCATCTGGTTTCCATAGTGTAGTGGTTATCACTTTGCCTTATATAAGATAATCCCATATTGAAATTCCTGCAGAACCTTTTTTTAATTCTATATTGTATCTTCCATTATCCACCCACTCAGCTAGTTGCAGTAGTCTTTTTTCTATTTTATGTAATAGAAGCACACAAAAATTTTCTTTCTGGAAGTCAATGTATTTGAGAAAACCCAGAGAAATTTCTTGTTTTCATTTTCTAAAGTATTTGGTTTTTGTTTTCTCTTCTGGATTTTCTTTGTGATAAAGGCGAAACTTGTGGCCCCTGGGCAAAAGAATTAGTAGAGAGGTAGGCTGGTGTTAACCCAAGGAGTGGCTGGGCATAGTTGCTGGCAGTAGCCACCTGTTCTCTGCTAGTGAGCGTGTACTGTGTTGTGAGCCAGCTCCATTCGCTTAGGCTGTGGTCTGCAGTTAGTGTTTTGACAGGGAAAGAAATCTTATGTCTTGGGCACTTTGAGTCTCAACATAGGCCTTAATTCTATCTTTCCACTTTGGAGTTTTGGGGAGACCAGACTGTGCAGCCCTCATTCGCCAACCAGTAGGGTCTCTTTAGTGGAGGAGATTGGATCTGAAAATGCTGAGTCATTGGTTTGACTGCTGAGAGTCATGGCTTGACTGTCTAGGGTTGACTTTTGTTCCTCCTTAATGTTCCTCCTTCTTTATGCCTGGTTGATGAGAGAACCTAAGACTTGTGACTGGTGCCCAGTGAGATTCGCGCTGCTTGGCAGTGAAGACCGTCCGAAAGTGGGGAATGGATTACAGGGCAGTAGTATTAATTACCTGGTAGAAATTCAGCCTTCATGTTTTTTCTGACATGTACCAAGTGAATAGTAGGGAAAATTTCAAAAGGTATTAGTAAAAGAATCATTTTACCAAAAATAATGAGAGCTCACAAAATGTTTGCATTTTACCGTTGATTTGAGTGCATCCTAAGAAAAGTAAAATTAGGGGCTTCCCTGGTGGTGCAAGTGGTTAAGCGCCAGCACTATGAAGCTGTCCACAACTACTGCAGCATGAGTTCAATCCCCAGCCAGGGAGGTGACCCACATGGCACAGCAGACCTCTCATGTCTCGCCTGCTGCTCCCCTAAGCAGTGTATTTCAGTCAGTCTGCCTGTTCTGCTCCTCCTCTGTCTCTGGTGAATCCTCTCACCCCCATCCCCATATCTCTGGCCTATAGCCCAGTTCTTATATGCATAAATAAATCAATCTTTAAAAAAAAAGTAAAATTAACAGAATAACACTGAATGTGAACTGTATACTAATAGTATTCAATCAATATTAAATTCTCTGAATTTGTAATATGTATTATATCCTTGACCTTAGGAGATACATACTAAAGTATGTAGGCCTGTAGGAATAAATCATTATGGTATCTGCCACTAGCTCTAAATAGTTCAGCAAAATAATAAGAGTAGTAATAGGAGAAAGCATGCACAAATTTGGACAAATGTTAACAAATATATAATCTAGGTGAAAAAAAGAGAATCTAGGTGAAGAATATATTTATTGATTATACAGTTCTCACAATTTCTCCCTAAGTTTTTTAAGTTTTCTTTTTTAAAAAAAAAATTATTTATGCATGCAAGAACTGGGGCACAGGCCAGAGGTGTTGAGGGTGAGAGGACTCACCAGAGACAGAGTGGGGAACAGAACAGGCAGATCAACGGAAGTACACTGCTGAGGGGAACAGCCAGCGAGCCAGGAGAGATCTGCTGCGGCCATGTCAGTAGCTCCCTGGCTGGGGATCGAACTTGTGCTACGGTGGCTGTGGATAGCTTCATAGGTTGCATCTTACTTAACCCCTTGCGCCACCAGGGAGGCCCAAGTTTTAAAGTTTTCAAAATATGAAGTCAAAACTGTAAAACTACAGTGATTCCTTATCAGAGTCAAATATTTTATTTGGAACCATCATACTGAGAGAATCAATTGATTGGAAGACGCTTTGCAAAGCACAGTCATGCATGCTTTGTGGGCTTATTTCTGTTCAGGACTGTCTTGAAATGTCCAAAGAACCTGTGGATAGAGGCACGGAGTTAAAGGTTGTGTTCCAAGACTAGTAGTTCTCAACCAGCACATTCAGGTGGCAATACCATGACTTTGGCATCTGCCCAAGGAACCACCATGGGGCAAAAAGACACAATCCACTCTGGGACTTCTCCTCCCCATGCGAAGCCTCTCAACAGCCTGCTCCTCTAGGCTGGCCTTCAGCTTTTATGTTACTTTGTGACAGTTCTTTAACCCACCAGGAGGGAATAAACTCTTTATCAAGGGAGCAGCTGCTTGCCAATTTTCAAGCTCTGCAACTTCTCTTATCTCATTCTGCAGCTTCTGCTCCTTCTCCTTCACCCAGAAAGGCAAGCTGTAGGAGGAAAACAACACCTAAAGTTTGAGTTTGTCTCATGTGAAATATACAAACACCTTCAGTGGACAGGGTACTATGTCCTCCACCAGTACAAATGCCTGCAACATAGAAGACCAGTGTGAAAAAATAAAACACCATGTGAGTTGGGCACCATGTGCCCCTGGGCCAGACCTGGAACCCTTCTCTGCCCTTCTCTGTTCAGGAGGCTAACCCCTGTGGCTTGCATCACTGTGACTCCCCCGCCAAAACACACACACAAACACATACTTGTAAGCACCATCTGGCTAATAGGAGACATTAACAGGAGATAAAAAAAGTGGGAAGAGAGGCCATGATATTTCTACCCAGCTCCTGCATTCCTACCCTATCTCCTGAGGTACCCCAGTTCTGACTGTGGCCACATTCTCCTTGCCACCACTCCTTTTAAATGACCCTTCTCCATCTCTCACCTCTGTGAATCATGTCCCTCTTCTTGCTGTTCAAACCTAGGAGTGGGTAACAGCTTCCCACTGTCAAGAACCTCTTAGGGCTTTGCCCTCCCACATGAGTTCTCAGCCTGTCCACACATCTGTAAACAGTCCCTTCGTTACGAACAGTCCCTGTCTTTAGAATCCCCATTGAGGACTGAGATTGCTTTCTATTTCTGCTGGAACCTTGACTAATGTAGACACCTTGTGTCTTCCCAGGTCTGTTGAGATTTGCTTTGTTCTGTGTTTTGTTTGTTTACATTTAAAAAAAAACCGGGTTTATTAGGAAAAGGAGAAAGGTAAAAAGAAAGAAAAAAACCACCTGCATAGACAGAAGTAGGCAGTCTAGGGAGGAGAGCTGCTGCTGCTGCTTTGCAAATGGAAAAGATTTGTGAAAGGAAACACCTGCATAGTCACGGGCAGGCAGGAGAGCTGCCAGGTCTGTTGAGATTTGAAAGAACATAAGTTGGGCTGTCTTCCAGGAGGTACCAGAAAGTAAGTACTCCTGTGCCGGGGACCAGCCTCCGACAGGTCTCAGCTAAACGACAACTTTTAAGGTTAACAAATAATAAACCAAACTTAACCTCCTGCAGCACTCCTGTGATGTCTGGGATGAGCTGGAGCAGAAAGATGGAGAATGCTTATATCTTTTGACAATTAAGAATGTTTGTACTGGGGCCTCCCTGGCGGTGCAAGGGGTTAAGTCTCAGCACTATGTAGCTATCTGCAGCCACTGCAACACAAGTTCAATCCCCAGCCAGGGAGCTACCCACATGGCACAGCAGACCTCTCCTGTATTGCCCACTGCTCCCCTCAGCAGTGTATTTCAGTCAATCGCCTGTTCTACTCCCCACTCTGGTGAATCTGCTCCCCCCTACCTCCACACCTCTGGCCTACACCCCAGCTCTTGTATGCATAAATGAATAAAATGAATCTTTTTTAAAAAAGAATGTTTGTTCTTTTAACTCAAGCTCAGAGAGGTGCTTCATGACTGGGAAAATGGGCTGATAAACCTGCTGGGGGTCAGGAGGTCCCTGCAAGAACAGAGGGGAGGATTACTGCATCAGTAAAAGATGGGCGTCAAGGTGTATCATTTAAAGCTGACAAACCAAGAATAGAAGTCCAAGTAAGAAAAGCGGGATGAAGAGCAGTTAGAAAGATTTTATAATAAAGAACCAGTAGAACAGAAACACCAGCAGTCCTAAATATCAAAAGAAATAATTTTTTAACTTTTGTTGAAGCAATCAAAGAAAATATTCATGCTAAATATATAAAACATAATAAGTTTAACAAAATATTATGACAGAATTGAAATAAAGTATCTGTGAAATCAATAATTGCATATGGCCTTAATTCATCTATTAAAGAAAAAAATTTTGTTCACAAAGCAAAATCCAATTCTGTGTTTAAAAGATTTTAGAACTAGATGTGATTCAAAAGTCTTAAAACAGAAGAATGGGCAAAAATATTTTAGTCACATGTAAACAAAACAATGGAAGAGTTGTAATCCATTAAATTAGGCAAAGACAGATATTTTTATAATGCTAATGAAGATAGAAACACTAATATTTGGACACTTTAACACACCTACTCTCGTCCAGGCTAGGTCAAGTAGATAAAAATGAATAAGGAAATATAGGGATGAAACAGCACAATCCATAAGATAAATCTTCTGGATATGTATCTAACTTTGCATCTTAGTGAAATAGAACACACTTTCAAATGCATGTGGAAACTGTCCCTAAATTGAGGATCTATTAAGTTACAAGGAAAACTTTGATAATTTCCAGAAGATGAAAATAATAAAGCCAATATTTTCTGATCACAAGGTGATAAAAGTAAAACTGGATTACAAAATAACCAAAGATCTCTTATACCTGGAAGAATTTTAAATCTTTCTATTACATAATTTTGAGTCAAAAGTCACCAATACAAACTACATAATTTATCGCTTATATTTTAAAACTACAGAATTTTTTTTAAATAGGATAACCTACATATCAAAACTTATAATATAAAAGCAAAGCAGTGGTTAGAAGAAACATTCACAGTCCTTAACACAGATATTAAGAAAAATTAAACAAGTTTAAAATAAATTAAACATCCCATTCAAAAAAGAAAAGAAAAAAAAAAACAAAAAATAAAATCAAAAAATAGGAAAAGAACAAAAGGAAAGTGAAATGAGCAGAAGGAAGTAAATAATAAAGATGGAAGCAAAGTTTGATTTAGAAAACAGTAAAAGAAAAGTTCTTTAAGAGCACCAACTAGACAAACCACTACCTAACTCAATCAAGAAAAAGGAGGATGAAGCACAAACTCACACAATAAGAAATCAAAAAAACAATTGAAGAGGAAAATTTTGAAGTAATAAGACTATTTTGAACACTTCTATGCAAATTAATTTGAAAACAAATGAATAATTTTCTAGAAAAATTAAATGTACTAATATAGAGCTCACAAAAGAGAGTAACTTTCAATAGTCTCCTGCCCTGACTGGTTAGTAGAATATTCATCAAGTTAATTGTCAAAACCCTGAGAGAGCCGTAAGGTCCTCAAATTCTTCTGCTGGTTACAGCATCAAAGAATACACTGATTACAGTCCATCCTTATTTTAAAAAAATAACTTACTAGCTTTAGAAAACAAATGAGGTTCATTGGTACGATAAATGACTTATACATGTAAAAACATATTTTCATGTGAAAGGCAATATTCAAAAGGTAACAACAGTGGTATGGGATGGCAAGACTTGGACAATTGCTGTTTTTCCCTCCAGCTTTATCGACATGATAACATTGTGTAAATTTGATGTGTACATTGTGTTCATTCAGTACACATATATTGCAAAATGATGCATTATCTAGTACTATATCACATCATGTAATTACCATTTCTTTGCTTTGAAGAGAACTACGATCTGCTCTTAGCAACTTTCAAATACAGTCTTGATAACTATATTCATCATGCTGTGCATTAGTTCCCCAGAACTTATTTATGTTATAACTGCAAGTTTGTTTTCTGACCAACATCCCTTTTCTCCTACCCCCAGTTCCTGGTAACCACCATTCTATTCTATTTCTGTAAGTTCAGCTTTTTTAGACTCCACATATAAGTGATAATCACACAGTATTTGTGTTTGTCTGATTCATTTTACTTAGCATAATGCTCTCAAGGTCTATCCATGTTGTTGCAAACATCAGGATATCCTTCTTGATAGTAGCTGAATAATATTTCTATGCATACCACATCTTCTTTATTCATTTATTCTTTGATGGACACTTAAGTTGTTCCCATGTCTTGGTTATTATGAGTAATTCTGCAATGAACATGGGAGGACAGAAATTCTTTGGGGTCCTGTTTTCATTTCCTTTGAATATATAGCCAGGGTCTCCCCGGTGGTGCAGCAGTGCAGTGGGTTGAGCGCAGCGCTGTGAAGTTGTCCACAACCTCTGCAGCGCGTATTCAATTCCCGGCCGGCCAGGGAGATAGCCACATGGCACAGCAGACCTCTCCTGGCTCACCCGCTACTCCCCTCAGCAGTGTTTTCGGTCCTTCTGCCTGTTCTGCTCCCGGCTCTGTCTCTGGTGAATTCTCTCACCCTCCCGTGACACTGGCCTGTACCCCAGTTCTTGTATAAATAAATAAAAATCTTTTTTTAAAAAGTTTTTTTTTTAAATGTATATATACACCCAGAAATGGGATCGCTGGATCATATGGTAATTCTATTTTTAATTTTTTTAAGAAACTCCATACTGTTTTCCATAATGATCACACCCACTTACATTCCCACCAAAGTGCAAAAGGATTCCCTTTCCTCCACATCCTTGTCAATACTTCTTATCTCTTTTTCTTTTTTTATTATTATTACTATTTATTATTTAATGAAAAACCATTGCTTTACATCAAATTTTTTGACAGTATAGGATTTCTTCCCTCAAGTGTTGTCGACACTGCTTTCCTACCACCAAGCACCCATTGTCCTGTCCCATAGTCCATCGCACTTCCCTGTACCCCTCCACCGCCCCACCTGCCTGTTCTCACCCCTTCTCTTTTACTTCCCACTCCACTCCTGGATGTTTAGGGTCTAAGGTCAGCTTTCAAGGTTTTGAGTTTGCATTCCCTGATGGTTATTGATGCTGAACACCTTTTTCATGCACCTGTTGGGCCATTTGATTGTCTTGTTTGGAAAAAAATATCATCAAGTCCTCTGTACACTTTTTATTTAACTGGTTTAGGTTTTGTTTTATTGATTTGTATGCGTTCTTAAAATATTTTAGATATATATCTTTTCTCAGTGATGTGACTGCAAATGGCATTATTCTCTTAAGTTATTTTTCTTGATGCTCATTATTTACAAAACAGGATACAACAGATTTTTATGTATTAATCGTGTAGACTGCCACTTTCTGCTTCTTGTTTATTTCTTCTAGTAGTTTGTTGTTTTTTGGGGTTTTTTGGTGGAGTCTTTAGGGTTATCTATAGATATTATCATGTTATCTGCAAATAATGATAATTTCACATTTTTTGATGTAGATTCCTTTTATTTCTTCTTGTCTAATTGTTCTGGCTGAGACCTCTAATACTAAAATCAATAAAAGTGGTGAAAGTGAAAATCCTTGCCTTGTTATTGATCCTCATTTTTAGCATGTAGGCAGCTGTTTATTTTTAATAAGATATTCTCCTACATTTTTCACAATACTTATATAGGGGTTTTTTTTTCTGATTTTTGAATTTTTTTCCCTCCACCAAACCACCCGTGCCCATACCCCATTTGCCTCATCACTCCCCCCGCCATTCCCCTATTCCCTCTGGTAACCATTATATCCTTTTTGCCAAGTTCAAGTTTTATTCCTTGTAATTGTTCGCATATAATTGTTTTTTGGGTATTTATATTCCACAGGTGAGAGAAATAATCTGAAATCTATCCTTTTTTGACTGACTTCAAAAGTCAGTCAGTATAATTAATCAGTTATACTTCACTCAGTATAACTATCAAGGTTCACCCAAATGCCACCACTTATCTCTCATAATTGTTTGAGATTGGTTTTGTTTCTCACTGTAGGCCTGCATTGCAATAAATTTCCCTCTTAGTAGTGCTTTTGCTGCATCCCAAAACAATTTTTTTTAATTTCTGCTTTAATTTCCTCATTGGCCAGTGATTATTAAGAAGCATGTTTTTTGATCTTCATGCACTTCAGGTTTTACCTGAAGTTTTATTTTTTTAAGATTTATTTTTATTTATTGATGCATACAAGAACTGGGGTGTAGATCAGAGGTGCAGGGAGTGAGAGGATTCACCAGAGACAGAGTGGGGAGCAGAACAGGAAAATCCACTGAGATGCACTGCTGAGGGGAGCAGCAGGTGAGACAGGAGAGGTCTGCTGTGCCACATGGGTAGCTGCCTGGCCTGGGATTGAACACATGCCTCAGTGGCTGAGGATAGCTTGATAGCGCTGAGACTTTAACCCCTGAGCCACCAGGGAGACCCACCAGTTTTATTTTTTGTGGTTGGCTCTAGTTTTATAGCATTATGATTGGAAAAAGTACTCAGTTTATTTTAATCTTCACAGTTCATTGATGCTTGATTTGTGTCCCAACATATGTTCTTTCCTTGAGAATATTCCATATGCACTTGAGAAAAATATAAATTCTGCTATTTGGGGGTAGATTTAGAATATTTGGTCCATCTGATCTAGTTAATCATTTAAGGTATTGTTTCCTTATTCTCTGTCTTGTTGATCTATCCATAGTTGAAAGTAGAATGTTAAAAATTCCCTGCTATTATGGGCGGTGCGGGGGAGAAGGGAGAAGGATCAAAACAAGGGGGGTGGGAATTGTATGGGGACTTTAGCCAAGGATAAAAATGCATACATTGTGCAAAAATGAAAAATGATGTAAAAAAATATACAAAATAAAATTTTAAAATAATTCCCTACTGTTATTGTCTTATTGTAAATATCACTCTTTAGTTCTATTAATTTTACTATGTATGTTGATGTTCCATCATCTTGTGCATATATATTCATAAGTGTTATATCTTCTTGTGGCATTAAACTCTTAACCATTATGTAGTGGTCATCCATCTATCTTACTACCTTTTTTAACTGGCAGCCTCTTTTATCTGATATAATATAACTGTGTCTGTTTTTTTACTATTATTATAACCATTTGCTTCTAGGGCTCTTGCCTCTTTGCCATGTCACTTTTCCTTGCAGAAACATTGATCCTTGGCTCATTCTTCATTCTTTATCCATATGTGATTTTGTGTGTATGTGGAGGGGAGGTAAACCTTGAGTCCTTACTCTTCTGCCATCTTTTTTTTTTTAATCTTTTTTTTATCTTTTTTTTTATAGAGGCATGTTTTATTTGTTTGTTTGTTTGTTTGTTTGTTTGTTTATACAAGCACTGGGTACAGTCAGAAGCAAGGGAGGGTGAGAGAATTCACCAGAGCGGGGAGCAGAGCAGGCAGAAGGACCGAAGTACACTGCTGAGGGGAGCAGCAGGCGGCAGGAGAGGTCTGCGCGCCATGTGGGACCCTCCGCTGGTGGCCGGGGAGCAGCCGGGGATCGAACCGGCGTTGCAGAGGCTGTGGGCAGCTTCGCAACCCAGCGCTCAACCGCTGCGCCACCGGGGAGGCCCTCTTCTGCCATCTTGCTGGGACTTAGCCATTGAAACTTTGACAAGGATTACATTGAAGATCACTTTGACTAGCATAGATGTTTTGACAGTATTAATTTTTCTAATCCATGAGCACAGAATCTTTCCACTTACTTATGTCTTCTCAAATTTTTGTCATCTATGCTTTATAGCTTTAAGTGTACAGATTTTTCACCTGGATTAAATTTATTCCTAATTATATTCTTTTTGATGCTATTGTAAATGGTATTTTTTTTAATTTCTTTCTGATAGTTTGTTGTTAGTGTATAGATATGCAACTTATTTGGGTATATTGGTTTTGTATCCTGCAACTTTACTGAATTTGTCTATTCTAACAGGTTTTTTCTTTCTTTATTCTTTTGTTTAGTCTAACAGTTTTTGGTGGGGTCTTTAAGATATTCTATATATAATGTGATATTATCTGCAAGTATAGACAATTTTCCTTCTTCTTTTCTCTTATGGATGCCTTTTATTTCTTTCTTATATAATTCTCTGGCTACAACTTCCAATACTATGTTAAATAAAAGTGGTAAGTGTAGGTATCTTTTTCTTATTCCTGATCTTACAGGAAAATCTTTCAGCTTTTCACCATTGAGTATGATGTAAGTTGTGGGCTTGTAATATATGGTCTTTATTATGATGAGATATGTTACCTCTATACCTACCTTGTAACTAATTTCTACTTTCGTATCACTGAAGTCACAAAAATGCTTGTTAGAAAGTGAAATTATTTATACCAATACATAACTCTTTCTAAATCAGATCCCCACTTGAGAAAATAAATGAGTTTCAGAATAGGGCTCAACAAAAATATGAGATCAGAGGACTGATACTTCCTTCAAGTAAGAAATCCTCCAATGGCATTCACTTTGCCTCTTAAGTTCTAACCATCTTCCCTGACTACATTCATTTAAGAATGTATCTTGCTTTTCCAGCAAGATCTTATTCTTCAGAAAGAGGAGACAATGCCTTTCAGCTCCATGTAAGCCCATAACTCTCCCTCATAGGGCACACCTACCACAATATGTGGCATCCGGTAGTCCACCAATCACATCTGCTGAGGATGTGGGCAGCCTCGCTGCCACTCTTCACAGACACTTGCCCTCCAGGGTCCACCAGAAGCCTTCTAAACAAACTTCCCCACCCACTCATACAATCCCTTTGTGTTGGGTGTCTATGAACTCCATAAGAGAAAATAATAAATAATTGATAATTTCATAGATAGAATAATACACAACATGGTGAATAAACTTACCTAGGAATCGGTGGAAGAGGTTCAAGTGGAATAAACGTATCAAATTTCTTTTCAAAAGGCACTCTGAAAAACAAAAAGGCAACCATAAAAAATTGATGCGGTTTCTACAGCAAAAAAAAAAAAAGAAGAATCAATACATTATTGTGTACAATAAATTGTTTTATTTTCTGCTTTTCATTGTCACATGTGGGCTTTAAAACTATACAGTCCAGGGACCTCCCTGGTGGCACAAGGGATTAAGCACAGCACTAGGAAGCTATCTGCAGCTTCTGCAACATGAGTTTGATCCCCAGCCAGCCAGGGAGCTACCAACATGGCGCAGCAGACCTCTCCTGACTCGCTCGCTGCTCCCCTCAGCAGTGTATTTCAGTCAGTCTGCCTGTTCTGTTACCCACTCTGTCTCTGGTGAATCCTCTCACCCCCCAGCACCTCTGGCCTGTACCCCAGTTCTTGTCCGCATAAATAAATTACAAAAAAAAAACTGTACAGGCCATAATTCTTATATTTTATCAATTTTTGTAAAAATCATTAAATCAAACATGAATAATTTTTAAATAGTACTTGTAATGTAATACACCAACTATTTTTCTTTTAATTTAATGACCCTCTCTTTCCCATCAATTGCTTTGGTCTAACTTTAGATCTAAGTGTAAGTCAACCCAATAGTATTCACTAACCAAAAATCTTATTTGGTGAAAACTGAAAAGTCAGATTTATGGTAATAACAATAGAAGCAAAATTAACAACTGCATTTTTATAGTCAAGATCCTATGTTTAAGTTCAATTATACACACACATATGCATACACTAAGAAAGTAGGTATGGAATTTTTTAGGCATTTTTATCAACCATATCTTGTTGGATCTAACCCATGTAAAATAGTATTTTTATATAGTACAGAGAGATACAATCTTTTAAAGTTAAATAAATAACCCTACTATTAACATATGCTCACACTGAAAAATTCACTGGTGGAAGAGTTGATCCTGCTTTGTGGAAGTCTTTACTCTGTTCTGGGTACATATATGGATTATCTCCTGGTGTTAACTTTGGGATTCCATTCCTGGGATCAATATCTATAAAAGATATTTAAAAACAAAACCATCAAGAGGGCTGAAGATGATATACAGATGTGCTTTAAGTATTAACATGACAATGGAAATAGAATAATTTAGTGTTTTGTTATAAGACACACATATATGTCTTACAGTTCTGTTGTGATCATCTTGCTTTGAGGAGAAGATAAATGTGTGGACCTATATTTGGGGACATTTTCTAAAAGGTGTTGTTATGATTACCTCACCCTGGGAAAGAAGAATAGCTTAAGGGTGGATGAAATGTTTTGGTTGAAAAATGATCAGTGAGGCCTCCCTGGTGGTGCAAGGGGTTAAAATGCAACCTATGAAGCTATTCGCAGCCACTGCAGCACGAGTTTGATCCCCAGCCAGGGAGCTACCCACATGGCACAGCCGACCTCCCATGATTCGCCCACTGCTTCCCTCAGCAGTGTATATCAGTCAATCTGCCTGTTCTGTTCTCCACTCTGTTTCTGGTGAATTCTCTCAACCCCCCACACCTGTGGCCTGTACCCCAGTTCTTATATGCATAAATAAATAAATCTTAAAAAAAAAAAAACAGGGATGGAAAGAACACAGGGACCATGGTGATGGTTCACAGGTGATTTGGTGGTGGGAAATTTACAGAGAATACACCTGAGGGGAGAAATTAAGTACTGTACAGAAATGAACAACTATGTAAGAAAATTTAAAAATTAATTTAAAAAATAATCAGTGAATCAGAGGCATTTGCAATGATGAGCAAGAACTCTGACTTGAAATCCTTCCATTCCTGAGCATCAGTGTACTTTGAGTCCCTGAGTTCTATAAAGCTCTGGAAGCAATTGAAATTGGGGCTCTGATGCTGCCCGGAGTTCAGGAAGAACTCAACTAATGAGAGTCCTGTTCCTCCTGCTTCAACAATTGGGGCCATTTAGTAACAGGAGGTAGACCTGTTACTAAGGAATCAGGAGAAAGCCCACTGCCGCTGAGCACATGCCGATTACTCAGTCCCTTCAATGCCCTGGAACAAGAAACTAATCGCATGAGCTCAGAAGGAGCCATCCTGGCACGGATGGTCATTTAAACCTGCCCCTTGACACCAGGTGCACCTCGCAAGAGAACAGCATGGACTGAGAGACTAGCCAGCAGGGGAATCAGAAACAGGGTTGAGTGGCTGGAAGCACAACCTTCTTTGCCCACACATCCAATAAGTAGGCCTTTAAAAAAAAAACTTATTTTGCTGTTACTCAATTTAATGGTACCTCCAATATGCAAGCCAAAGGGAGAACTGGGGAAGATTTTTTATAAGCTGTTTCCTACCTACCCAAATTCCTCTACCTAACTCAGACAAGCACTCTGCACAACAGGTAGTAGTAGTACTGCACAGTAGTGCAGTAGCACTGCACAATTAAATACTGGAGTATTTAATTTTTTATGTTTCTCTTTCTAAAGCCTTTTCAATAGGTAAGCTTCTTCATCTAAACTTTTTATTAGCTCTTAAGTATAGTCACAGCATCAATTATCCTCAGTGCCTGCTGGGTATGAGGTGACGAGGAGTCAAAGCAAGGAGAGAGGAATGACTATTTTTAAATCCCAAACCAGAGAACTGTCAAGTAAGGTCAGGTGACAGCAAGAGGTGGTGAGAGGGGTTTGGCCTTCAGAGCAGTCATGCCTGAGTTCAGATCCATTTCTGCAATTTCTAGTTCTGTGAACATGAGCCATTTATTTAACTTGCATAAGCCTTCATATCCTTAAAACTGTTTATTTCAAATGTCCACTTTGCAGTGTTAGTGCGAGTACTAAATGAGAGTAATCTGTGCACATAATTGTCATTCAAGAAATGGCAGCACCTACTTGAAATTAGGAGTAGGCTAATATGACCTAAATCACAATTTTTTTTAGTCTGGAAAATTAAATTGCCATCTAGCTAACATATAAAGGGAATACTATCTAGTTGAAGAAATGAGACATGGGGCATCCCCTGGTGGCGCAGGCGGTTGAGGGCCGCACTGTGAAGCTGTCTTTAGCCTCTGCAGTGCCAGTTCGATCCCGGCCGGCCGGCGAGGGTCCCACTTGGTGGGGCAGACCTCTCCTGTCACGCCCGCTGCTACCCTCAGCAGTGTATTTTGTCAGTCTGCCTGTTCTGTTCCCCGCTCTGTCTCTGGTGAATCCTCTCACCCTCCCATCTGGCCTGTACCCCGGTTCTTGTATAAAATAAATAAATAAATCTTTGAAAAGAAAAAAAAGAAATGAGACATTAATACTAGGAGATTAAATAATACTATATAAGGTGATTCATCCCATATACTGTGAAACAGTAGTTACAAGATTTTAGCATACCTGAGAACTACCTAAGCAGCTTTTTAAAAATGCAGCTTCCTGGGTCACAACCCAAGAAATTCTGTTTCAGGTCTGAAATAGTTCGCACAACCAGCATATTTTTACAAGCTCTCCTGTTGATTATGACACAGGTGATCTGAGAACAACATGTAGGTATATACTATTATAGAAGATCTCATGAGATACTGTCAGCAAATAGTGTACAATATCACAAAAGAAGAAATGCCCAGTGTCAAAGTTAACAATATTAAGTAATACAGTGAGATGAAGGAAGAACAGAAATAGAGAAAAACCATTGTGTTTGATGGTTAAAAAGTCATTGCACAGCATCACCTAGGAAGTAATCACACTAAGAGGAATCAAGCTTATAGGTCCAATCGTGAGTTACAGGAAATGCACAGAACAGAGACACCTGTACAAGGGTACAAGGGGTGTAATAGGCCAAATCCTGACTGTGGCAAACTCTACAAGACAAATGACCAAATAAATTGTGGGGAAAAAAAAGAGATTGAAGACCAGCTTAACTAATTGCTAATTGTGTATCTTGTTTGAATCCTTTCTCAAATAAAATGTAGATATTTTAAAAATATGACATTTGTAGAAATAGAAGAAGACACAAAGAAATGGAAAGACATCCCCTGCTCATGGATTGGAAGAATATTATGAAAATGGCCATCCTACCAAAAGCAATAGACAGATTCAATGCTATTCCAATAAAAATTTCAATGTCATTCTTCAAATAAATAGAACAATTATTGATGAAATTCATATGGAATCACCAAAAACCCTGAATAGCCAAAGCTCTCCTGAAAAAAAAAAAAAAGAAGGGAATGGAGGCATCACACTCACAGACTTCAAACTATACTACAAAGCCATAATCATCAAAACTGCATGGTATTGGAACAAAAACAGACACACAGACCAATGGAATTGAATAGAAAATCTAGAAATAAACCCACAGATTTATGGTCAACTAATCTTTGACAAAGGAGCAAAGAATATGCATTGGAGCAAAGAAAGTTTGTTCAATAAATGGTGCTGGGAAAACTGGGTTGCTACATGCAAAAGAATGAAGATTGACTGCTACCTCACACCATGCACAAAAACCAACTCAAAATGGATTAAAGAACTAGACATAAGACCTGAAACCATAAAACACATAGAAGGAAATACAGGCGAAACAATACATGATATGCACATCAAAGACATCTTTACAGACACATCACCCAAAGCAGTGATAGTGAAGGCAAAGATAAACAGCTGGGACTACATCAAATTAAAGAGCTTCTGCACAGCAAAAGAGACAATAACAAAAACAAAGAGAAACCCCACCGACTGGGAGAACATTTTTGCACACAACACTAATGATAAAGGACTGATCACAAAAATCTACAAAGAGCTGATGAGACTCAACACAAACAAAGAAAATAATCCAGTCAAAAAATGGGCAGAAGAGGGCCTCCCCAGTGGTGCAGCGGTTGAGCGCTGGGTTGCGAAGCTGCCCCCGCCTCTGCGACGCCGGTTCAATCCCCGGCTGCCCCCCGGCCACCGGAGGAGGGTCCCACATGGCGCGCAGACCTCTCCTGCCGCCCGCTGCTCCCCTCAGCAGTGTACTTCGGTTCTTCTGCCTTCTCTGCTCCCTGCTCTGGCTCTGGTGAGTTCTCTCACCCTCCCGCGCTTCTGACTGTACCCAGTGCATGTATAAACAAAAAAACAAACGAACAAATAAATAAATAAATAAATAAATAAATAAACATGCCTCTATTAAAAAAAAAAAAAATGGGCAGAAGAGCTAAAAAGAAACTTCTCCGAAGAGGAAATGCAAATGGTCAACAGGCATATGAAAAAATGTTCAACATCACTTGCAATCAGGGAAATGCAAATCAAAACTACAATGAGATACCATCTTACACCAGTGAGAATGGCACATATTAAAAAAAAACTAGCAACAACAAATGTTGGCAAGGGTGTGGAGAAAAAGGAACTCTCCTGCACTGCTGGTGGGAGTGCAAACTGGTCCAACCACTGTGGAGAGCTGTGTGGAGATTCCTCAACCTACTAAAGATAGAACTTCCATATGATCCAGCAATTCCACTCCTAGGTATTTACCCAAAGGACACAGAAACATCAATTCCAAAGAGCACCTGCACCCCTATGTTTATAGCAGCACTATTTACAATAGCTAAGCTTTGGAAACAACCCAAATGCCCAAAAATAGATGACTGGATCAAGAAGATGTGGTACATATACACCATGGAATATTACTCAGTATTCAAAAAAGATAAACACATGCAATTTGCAGCAACATGGATGGCACTGGAAGAGATCATGCTCAGCGAAGTGAGCCAGAAAGAAAAAGAAAAATACTGGATGGTCTCACTCATAGCAGGAATCTAGAAAACTTAAATAAGAGACCAGGAAAAAGAATAACTATAAGAAAGAAAAAATTTAAAAAAAAATCAAAATCAGCAAACAACTATGAACCAGAGACACTCTATGGGGAGTGGGGGCCAGGGAAAGGAGGGATTGGGGTCAAAATAAGGGGGTTGCAATTGTATGGGGAATATAAAAATAAAATTTAAAAATATATGACATTTTCAAGACAATTAAATACTTGAAGAATAAACATTGTTGATATTAAGAAATTATTGTTGATTTTTTTAAGAAATGAGAAAGGTATTTTGGTCATGTCAATAAAATAATATTGTACAACATAATGGAAATAACCCTTATCCGATATGGAGAGGAGTGGAGAGGGTAGGACTGTAGTCCTGGAGCTTTGGTGGAAGGTGGGTGAAGCATGTGTGTGCATTAAGGTATGAAGTTGTTCTTCTAAAATTATATAGTATATAGTTATGTAAATGAATAGCATATCAATAAAGCTTTGCTTAAAGAAAACAATATTCCTTACCCATTAGAGGTTCATACTGGTATATTACAGATTAAATATCTGGACTTTGCTTTAATTCTAAGGAATTAAACTTCTAAGGAAGTTCTCCTGCCCACCTGTGACTATGCAGGCACCTCTTTTTCTTTCTCCTTTTCCTAATAAACCTGTCCTTTTAAAATGTGAAAAATGAAATAAAATAAAAGAATCCCTGGGAAAAGATGGAGAGAGATGAAACAAGATTAGCCATGTGTTGATGGGTGCATTATACTCTGCAAACTGGGCATGTGTTTGAAATGTCTCTAATAAAAAGTGTTTCTTTTTTTAATAAAGGTAGAATAGGGGTTACCAATATAGTGGAGGGAAGAAAGCTGCTGTATGTGAGGAGGGGGAAGGCTGAGGAAAGGGCCTATTGGAAACTTTCAATAGAAAGAAAATTTTGATTTTAGGCACTGGGGAGGATGCAGGACTCCCCTGAAGACTCCCTCTCAGTGACTACTCCCACCTGCCCTAATCTCGCTTTTCATGTATTCCCTATCCAAACAAGCCTTGGTCTTCAAAACTCTTTTGTTTTCTGCTGAATTTAAAAATCTATTTTAAAAACTAAAAAATGAGAACTTTCTATTTCTTTCTTTTTTTTTTATTCCTGCTACAGCAATCCTATTCATCCCCAAAGCAATAGCTGCCTCATACACAGGTATTTCTGTAGAAAAGTATGCCACAAGGTCTGTCTGCACTCAGCAATTATTTAAGATCTTTCACAAAATTGATTATGGCTAGGCTGGCGCACAGAATCCACCAAGTTACACACCAAAGAGGTGGGGGGAAGAGAGAGAGCTATATATATCATGATATATATTATACACATATACATATATCACATATATGCATATATAGTATATAAAATTTTAGATATACAAATGCTCATGTCATTTATCTTTAATTAAATAAACTACAAAATAGCAACATTAACATGTACTGCAAGCTAAAGTTTATAGGATGCTTTCTTTGTAGAGAATAAAAAGTAAAATTTAAATGCATGTAATGGGCAGCATCTAATTAAAACATAAATGATTTTCTTTGGACTTCAATGAAGTTTTCTATTAATAAGTATTTCAGAGAACTTATCTGCTGACTTAAATGTCACATTAGCATTTTTTGAAATTCAGAGAAAAATAAAAATATGGATCAGCATATGTTGTGAGTTCTATGCCAAAAAGTACAGCCTGCCAGCCATCCCCTTCACTTTCCTATCTTCCCGGCTGCTCTAGGGTGGCATGGAGACTTCCCAGGGCTGCCCTCAGCTATGGAATGCTGGGTCTGCTGAATCACGATGCAAGAATATTCTTCGGCACAGACAGTCAAGGAGCAGGAGGAAAACATTACCATATTTCTTCCTTCCAAAGCACTTGTCCACTGTCCTCTCTGAGACAGACCTCCTGTTGCCCAGGTAGAGTCCGCTAAAGAAGCACTGCTTTCCAACATGGTAGGTGTGGAGATTGCTGCTGAACCTCGGGTAAAATGTCCACTCGGGACGCTGTCCATCTTCTGTAAGATGTCAGAAGGCCTTCATTAGCACCTCCCCCAGACTCGTAATGCAACCGGATGACAAATGTAAAAACTCCCCAGGAACTATGTGACTGTACAAATTTATCAACATGTTTATTTCTTGGTTCTACATGAGGCAGCGTTAACCTCTGGGTGACAAGCACAAAAGAGAGGGAAGTGGGGATAAAGTTATATAAGAGCTCTCTTCTCTTTTATTCCCTTTTTTACTTTCTTCTCCAAAAACAAAGCCCATTTTATGGTTCGAAGTGATATATGAGTTGGGAAGCTCAGAGGCAGTTTTACAAGTGCCAATAAAAACCCAACCTTCATTCTGATAAGTTAGCCAGTAGAACAGAATGCCCAGCAGGCAGCCATGGGATCCTAACTGGATGGAATATGGGGTTGGCAGCAACACAGGCACATCACACACTAGAGTGACACTGACAAGAGAAGACATGTGAGAACAGCTGCTGAGTCACCTCAGCCAAGTCACTGGACCTCTCTGTGACTCTGGGTTTCATTTGATTTTTTTCACACAAAATTGCTAAATTGATTTTAAACAATGAAAGATCTAACAGCTCCAGGGTTTCTTGAGAAACACTTGGGCTCTGTGGTGGCCAAGAAAGAACACAAGATTTGGAAGCAGGTAAGTCTGGATTCTAATCCCATTGCTCTGCTTCCTAGCTATGCATACTTGTGTCTCTGAAACTTGTGTGTCAAGTGGATAAGTCTGCATTCACCATATACAGCTATATGGATTGACACAGAAGCCCATCGTTTATTTACTTTGAATGAAAACAATGCATACTACTTTCTACTAGCAAAAACGTGGTTGTTTACACAACCGAAATACATATATAATATATAGACATATATTACATATAATATATACTACAACCCAAATATATATGTGTGTATGTGTGTGTACATGTACTATATGCATATTCTCTTTGTGATTTCATATATGTCTATTTGGGTTATAGTATATATATGTAGTGTACATACACATATACATTTCAAAATTCTGGAGGAATATTTCACTGGACCCTTATTTACTGAAGAATGTAAATATGGGTTTTTAGAGAATCACATTTGTTTTGATAAACATACAACTCTAACTCCCCAGAAGAGTTGTTGTGTGAATTAGTGATGAAATAGTCAAATGCCCAGCACTCAGTAGGTCTCCAATGGATGGCACCCGATATCATGGCAGATTTCTGCCCGGTGTGGAGGTACATGGAGGAGGGTCTCTGAACTCACTTGTCAGCAACTTAAGCAGGCTAAATTCCTCAGGATTTTTATCCTTCTGGACTTCATGAAATGAGATTTCAGAGGAGTGACCAGAATGTGAGGAGGAAGACTTCACATCCAAATCTGCAGCAGGGCTAGACAGGTAGCAGAAGGATTATTTTCTTCTCTATGCTTAAATTGGTAAGCAGAACTTGATCTCTATCTTGCGCTGGAATTGCCCTCACTGATGAAAAGAGAACTAGACCCACTTCCCTAAAAAAGTCCATGAACATATCATTTTTTTATTCACAATTTAAGAGGACTGAAACATATTCAAAAGGTGCATGCTTACAAAAATACCTTCTCAAAAGATTAACACAGAATTACCATACCACTTAGCAATTCCACCCCTGTGCATATACCCAAAAGAATTGAAAACAAAGACTCAAACAGATATTTGCATATGAATGTTCATTGCAGCATTATTCATAATAGCCAAAAGGTGGAAACAACCTAAATGTCCTTCATCAGATGAATGAATAAACAAAATATCTTATTTACCCGCAATGGAATATTATCCAGATACAAAAAGGAATGAAGTTCTGATACATGTTATAACATGCATGGACCTTGAAAACATTATGTGAAGTGACATAGCCAATAGAAAAGGACAAAAATTGTATGATTCCAGTTATATGAAATATCTAGAATAGGTAAATTCATAGAGACAGAATGTGGATTAAAGTACCAGAGGCTGTGGGGAGAGAAACGAGAAATCATCGTTTAATGGGCACAATGTTTCAGTCTGGGTGTTGAAAATTGATAATACTGGTGATTGCACAACATGCATCTAAACCCAGATCATCTCACTCCAGAATCCATTTTCTTGCCCAACATGTCATGCTACGTCTTCATCTGTTGGCTTCCTGGTGAGGATTTACCCCAACACTTACAGCTCTTCACTGGACGTCCCTACACAGAGTCAGAGTTAGATTTGCAATCTAGCTCTATATTATGTTGCCTAAAAATCATAAAGAACCTAGTTCAACAACTCACAAGTCTTCTATAGTTTAATCTCCAGTTTCCAATAAATAGGACAGAAAAAATAAATTTGAATATTAATGCCTGTATATTTTTGTGGCATGCAGATAGAGAGAAAATGCAATAACTCAGTGCCCCCAGATCAGAACATGACACTTTAACATTGGCGAAATATGACCCTCCTAATTCTTTACTTTAAATATTATGTTAAAAATCTCCTAAATCTTTGTTTTAAATATCGTTGAACAAACTGTGCATTTTGCCCAGGTTCACAGAGATACAAGGGGCAGAACTGGGATCTGAACCCAGACCACCTCACTCCAGAATCCATTTTCTCGCCAGACATGTCATGCTACCTCTCCGACTGTTGGCTTCCTGGTAAGGATTTACCCCAACACGTCTGGATGCTTACTTACTCAAGGGCAACAGACATCCTGCCTGGGCCTGTAGGCTTTCTGACACTTAGATCTGTTTCAACAGAAGATGAGGAACTAACCCTTCTGCCAGAGGATGTTTTGTTCACAAAGCATTCCTTAGATTCCAGAAAATCATTGTGTTTAGTTCCTGCAACACATAGATATCACCATTTGATTATAGTTATGAAAATACCTTCTACTCTATTTTGTTCCCTAAATATATATATATTTTCTAAAAGAAACTAACATTTGTTGAGTATTTATTATGTACTGGGGATTATGTTAACCTCTTACACACATTATCCTATTTGATTTCCATAATGACCTACAGACAGTGGTATTGTTTATCCTTCCATCTCACAGATGAGGAAACGAAGGCTCAAGAGGTTAATCAACTCTCCTAAGAACTCATGGAAAGTAAGCACCTGGGCCCAGATTTGATCACAGTTGTTGTGACACCAAAGTCTAAAATCCTAACCACTGTGCAAGTCTGGTCGCCTCTCCATAGCCTCCACTGCCTACTCTGAATTAAGTGGAAGAGGTATCTGAATCCAGTTACATATCACTATACATTGTATTGAGTCCCTCAATTCAATTTTTCAAATAATTTGTTCATAGAAAGACTGATAACTAACAAAAAATAAATAAAACTGCCATCAGAAATTTCCACTGGATTCCCCTCACACTATAGTGTGGTCATCCATTTATAGACACATTTTTTTCACCAGACTATGTCTTATTCATCTCAGTAACCCCTAGAACAGTGCCTGATGCAAAGTAAATGCTTAATAATGTTTCAGCAAGTAAATGAAAAAGAATTATAACTCCCCACTCACTTAATTTATAAGTAAGGGCATCCTAAAAGCCAATCCCTATCAGATAAAGCAAAGTGTACCCATTACCTTTACTCTGCTATCTAAGCACAAACTGCTGCTTTGTGAAAGTCCATTTGTACTTTCACCATTTTATATTGGTGTGTGTCTTGTCCAGCCACTTAAAAAAATGTTAGATGAATGCATATCGCATTTCTTTATTCATAAAGTTATACAGGTTACAAAATGTAACCCCTGATTATAAGAAAATGGTAAGAAATAACAGTCAGACTTATGTGACTTGAGTATATTTTTAGACTGACCACTGTTTCCCCCACATATTATCATTTTTCACATGTATACAACATATACTATGTGCCTGCCATCTGCAGATTCCCACTATGAGTGGGACTACTGCTTTTTTATTTACTTTTTATCATGTCACTCTCAAATTCACATAGCTAGTGAATCATATCTTTTCATTGTTAATAAAGTCCCAACCCTATCACCAAGCCTTTTTACTCTAAAGATTTTGCCTGTGATTCTATATAATTTAAAGGCCAGCTGAGCTACTTCCTCTCCTCACAATACCCCAATTCTGGGTTTCTTGGGATATCATTTTTTTAAGATTTATTTATTTATGCATACAAGAGCTGGGGTATAGGTCAGAGATGCAGGGGGTGAGAGGATTCACCAGAGACGGAATGAGGAACAGAACAGTCAGATTGACCGAAGTATACTGCTAAGGGAAGCAGCGGGCGAGTCAGGAGAGGTCTGCTGTGTCATGTTGGTTGCTCCCTGGTGGGCCGGGGATCAAACTTGTGCTGCAGAGGCTGCGGATTGCTTCATAGTGCGGTGCTTAACCCCTTGGGCCACCAGGGAGGCCCTTGGGGTATCACTTAAGAACTGTCTGCATCAGAATTATCTAGGAGACCTGTTAAAAATGAGCTCTCCTAATCCCATTATAGACCCATTGAATCAGAGTCTCACAGAAGTAAAGCCTGGAAACATGCATTTTTGAACAAGTGCCCCTTCCACAGGGTACTGGGGCTCGCATTTGGCAGTGCTTTTCTTCTTCAATTCTAGCTCCATCACTGCATTGTATTCTATCTTGTCCTATTTCCTGATTTTCCCATTTCTCAGGGTTTCCCAAGTATGCCAGGCTATGAGAATCACCTTGGGATATTTAACATCCCAGCTCTACCTCAGACTTTCAGGGGAAGACCTGTGGATCAGTTTATTTAAGAAGCACCTTGGATGATTCTTAGGACCAGCCAAGTGTGAAAGAGCCAAGGGATGTGAGGTTCCCCCAATAATGACTGCAGGACCCCTACCGTCCACGGATGGGAGCAGCAGGGCTGTCACTGAGAGTCTCCCACCAGCACACTGCTCCAGGTGCCTGACTTGCAGCCCCCAAGGCCGCAAGTTTCCTGGGCTCTGGGAGGCTCAGATGGGAATTGAGACCCTCCTTGTGTGTGTGTCTGCAGAAGAGTTGCCCCCTGGGGACCTTACCTTATCCCACTGAGCTTAGTTCCCCAGGCAAGACCTGCCTTATTGTAGGGAGCCTGACACAGCCCATGCCACTCAAGAGCGTGAGCCCACATCCACTGAGGGGCCAGACCAGGGGCCCAGCTCTGCGTGCGCCCCAGCCAGCTCAGGCTGCAAATGAAAACTTCAGCCATGCACACACACACTGCCTGCACACATACCACCAACAACACATGTTGTGGAGCCAAGAGCAGCCCCAGGTGAGCGACTTTTGTATGTAAAGTTTAAGGATGCCTTAAACTTGGCATTGTTTGAGGCATGAAGAGGGAATTGAGTGAAACCCAGCGGAGAGGGCATAAAGGGGCAGTGTTGAGAAAAGGAGAGCACAGGCCCCTGATAGCCAACATAGTTGCCACCTACATACTAAGCCGCAAAAGTAGTATCAACAAAAATACCGTAGACCATAGTCTCTGAGCACAGTGCAAGACAATTAGAAATCAATAATAAAAAGATAGCCAAAAACCAGCCAAAAACTTAGAAATTCAAACCATACTTCTAAATACATAAAAGAAGAAAATCTAATGGAAATCACAAGTACATAATGATCAATGACATAAATACTATATATCAAAATCTGTGGGATTTTACTAAAGCAGTAACTAGAAATTAGAGCTTTAAATGCATACACCATACTTCACTGAATATAAGACACTATCAACTGTAATAGCATTATTATCTACCAGAAAGAACAAAGACTGCCAATTAAACTATGACACTATGACTTATCACTTGTAATTATTATTTTATACTCATTGAAGCACTCTTTCAGGCTTTAATAAAGATTTTAAGCACATGTTACTTTATATATATGTATATATATATGGAAAATAAAAGTGACAAATTTGATTAAGGCATCCTTAAACTTTACATACAAAAGTCTTATTACTGAACCATTTTAAAATGCAATCACTAATTGATCTCTGTGCAACAAGAACATGGGTGAAGCAGCCTTTTCTTCAATGAGTGATCCCCTATTGCCAGACCAGGGACACACATTCTGCATTATTCAGTGTTCATACAGAAGATTCTGGCAACTACTTCACACCTACTTCTGGGCTACAGCCCTGGAAAGACCAATCCAACTTCAAAGATGCAAACTGTGAAAAGTGTCCATCTAAGAATTAACAGGTGACAGTGTTAAAAAAAATTCCAAAATGAATGAGCTATGCTATCAATTCAAGAAATAAGGGGAAAAAATAAACCCTCAAAATGATTAGGAAGGAAAGCATAAAATGAAAGCAGCAATGAATGAAATAAAGATCAAAACTATGGCTTCATGGAAAAAACTAATGATGTAGAAACACAAGTTTCAAGGGGGAAAAAAAGAACACAAGGAAACTACTAGGCATGAAAAGGAGGCCATAATTACAGGTAAAGTAGAAATAATTCTATACATAAAGAATTTGAGTACCAGAAATGTCAAATAATATCAAGGTAACAGAGTTATGAAGTACAGTTTATAAAATGTAGTTTAATGTTAAAGTAATCAAGATGGCAACAACACAAATCCTAATAGATAATTCCATAGAACAAAATATAAAATCTTGATAGAATAAAATTTTATATGATAATAGTGACTTTTTATCTAAGTGAAAAAAGGATGATTAAAAAAAATTGCTGAACAACAACAAATGTTGGCGAGGATATGGAGAGAAAGGAACTCTCCTGCACTGCTGGTGGGAGTGCAAATTGGTCCAACCATTATGGAAATCTGTGTGGAGATTTCTTGACCTACTAAACATAGAGCTTCCATATGATCCAGCAATTCCACTCCTAAGTATTGACCCAAAGGACACAGAAACATCAACTCCAAAGAGCACCTGCACCCCTATGTTTATAGCAGCACTGTTTACAATGGCTAAGCTTTGGAAACAACCCAAATGCCCAAAAATAGATGACTGGATCAAGAAGATGTGGTACATATACACCATGGAATATTACTCAGCATTCAAAAAAGATAAACACATGCAATTTGCAGCAACATGGATGTTGCTGGAAGGGATCATGCTCAGCGAAATAAGCCAGAAAGAAAACGAAAAATACCGGATGGTCTCACTCATAACAGGAATCTAGAAAACCTAAATATGGACCAGGAAAAAGAATAACTATAAGAAAGAAAAAAATCAAAATCAACAAACAACTATGAACCAGAGACACTCTTGGGGTGGGGGGGAGAGGAGGGATTGAGGTCAAAATCGGGGTTGCAATTGTATGGGGAATATAAAAATAAAAAGAAAAAAATAGAAAAGAAAATATATTGAATAGAAAAAAAATTGCTGAAACAACTAACCATTTTCAATGAAAATAAAATTAAATCTCATCTTATGTAATACACTTAAACTTTGCCCCTAAAATTAAAAAAGCAAAACATTTATAGATTTATAAGTGACTTATCACTTATAATTATTATAGATTTAAATGTAAAAATTAAAATAAAAGATGAGATGTACCTGAAAATATTCATAAGAAATGTTTACATGGGGCAGACCGGGCGTGCAGGGGAGCGCGTCGCCGGCACCGGCATTTTGCAGCAGGGACCCTTCTTGCTGGAGACTGTGTGAACCCAGCAGAAGGCTCACCGAGGAGACAGAGGTTAAGCTGGGAGGCTTGCCCACACCGGGCACCTTCTAGCCTGCAGTTCCAGCCCAGAGGGGAGCAGCACCCACCGCTGGGGCAGACCGGGCGTGCAGGGGAGCGCGTCCCCGGCTCTGGCATTTTGCAGCAGGGACCCTTCTTGCTGGAGACTGTGTGAACCCAGCAGAAGGCTCACCGAGGAGACAGAGCAGGG